GAGCAGAAGCAGATATCAATTTTAAGAATAGAGATTAATCGGTTTAAGGCAAATTTAATATAACTGCTGGAGAGATCATGTTTAGAGATTCTAAATTATAAGGGTATATAATTAAGATTGAAAATAACAAATAAGAGAAATCATTCCTCAATCCAAATGAACAATCCTAATAAAAGAAGAAAGAATCATAAACAAAATTCTATTTCTAATTTGATTAGGCTCAACACTAGTATGTTGGAGAGTATTCGGGAGATTAGAATTTCTAGATGTCTGCTATTTCAAGTGTAAAACAAGATGAGACCTTTGATTATTCACAAAGGGAACCTTTGAAAGAAGACGAAAAGACTCCTTCTTCTAATGTAGGAGAAAAGGATGAGAAAATAGATTTGGCTCTGGGGATTAGAACTATGAAATATATCAATGGATAACTTTTCGACATTGATGAATTTAAGAATTAAGATTCGGATGAAGAAGAGGAAAATGATCCAAAAAAAGGAGCTGGAAATGCAGGAATGCAACAAGTATAAAAAGAAGACGACGAAGATGAAGTAGAAGGAGGTCATGCTAACATTTATAAATCTAGGAGAACTTTTGTTTAATTCTTATAAGAAAGTAGAAATGTCAATTAAACCAGCATGATTTGCTTTAAATGGAGCGCTGCTGTATTAATCATTTGTCTGGGTGTTTTGGGATTACTTGATTATGTATTGACATAATAATTATTTTCTGATATCTAATAAGGATACATTATGATGCAAGATTCTAACATAAGAGTAGGTCTAGGCTAAAGAATATAATGGTAAATAATGGAGTTGTGTAGACTGAATAAAATTAATGTTTTAGCCACAGATGATAAGGTAAAAGCATAATTGACAAATATGAACACTACAATTAGTGATTTGAAAGATATCCAATCTAAAATTCAATCCTCTACTGAAGTATCAGGTCGACAAGATGAATTAATGACTACTAACACCATTAAAATGATTAGTAAAGATACCAGTGGGGCTGAAAGCAATTAATTAGTAGATATCAATCAAGGCACTTCATAGATCATTTCAAAGGCATTTGAAGTTATGAATTTTGATATCAAAGATTTTACTCCTGACTCAGATTCCATCTATTTTATAAGGTATAATTTGCTAAATGACTACTATCAAGCTACATTGGAAAGTGCAGATCTTTATACCAATCAACTTATAGATTTAGCTTATGATTCTAATGTATTACTTGTACTTCTAATTGTTGCTTGCGTATTTACAGTAGTATCCATACCATGGATAGCTTGTGCTTTTAATTTAGTCTCTTAGAATCAAGAAGAAGTTATCAAGCTGTTCTTAGAGATTCCCTTGGCGAAAGTGAAGCAATTGTTTGCCAAATGTGAAGCATTTTCGAATACTCTATAAATAGGTGAGGATGAAGATGCCAATCAAGAGAATGATGTATCATTTGAAGAGAATGAAGAAGGAGAAGGAGTTGTTGAAGAATTCGGGAGAAGGAAGAAAAGAAAGAAGTATAAGTATGATTCCAAAGATAAACGTAACTTTTACATCAAATTCATCATATCAATGGGATTGTTGATTGCCTACTTTATTGCGCATTATCTTATTGGTGCTAATTTACAAAGTTCAATGCAATAACTGATTCAGGAAATGAATGCTACTTCACTTGCAGTGCCTTCAATCACATTTGCTAATAATGTTTTTAGACAAATGTTGTGGGATTCCAACTTCCCTGTTAAAAATAATGTGTCCAAGACTATTTCTGCAGACTTTGTAAAGGATTTATACAATCTAAATACAAATATGTAGAAGGATCATTCATTAAATTTGGGTTATCACAATTCCCTTTACAATGATTACTTTGATTCAATCATGAAAGCTGGAGCATGTGCACAAGTCATCCAAGTTGCTTCTGTAGATTTGGCTACTTGTTAAGCATTCGTCAAAGGAATTGTAGATGAATCTTTAGCTTTGGCTCTATCCAGACATTTTGAAAATCTGAGGTATTTGCTTACTGTTTACGATTCTCTACTTAATGACTCCTCATCGACCACAATTTCAGGAACCCTTTACAATTTCACAGATAATCTATAAACTAATAAAATATTATCACTAATGTACACTGATATTGCTGCTGTAGAAATAAGTATGTTATGAATCATTAAATAGATTAAATGCAGGACATTTATATTAGGTCAATCTTCCAATAATTGCTGGTTACTTTTAATTCTAGTTTACAAAAGGACATTGATACCAATACAACCACCACTGTTACTATTTTCATCGTTTTCTTGGTTGTCTTGGTCCTTGTGTATCTATTATTCTGGTGGCCAATTGCTAACAAAATAAATAATGAAGTAAGTATATGTGTGCATTCTTTTAGATCAGACGGACGACCTTGTTATTATCAATGATACCCTTAAATCTCATTCAACGCATCAAAGCCATCAGGGAATATTTAAATAGGATTCATAAGGTGGATCAATGATTAATTTATTCCAAATTGATTTTCTTCAATTATTGTTTTAATGTTTATATCATATATCCTTCTAGCCTTTTTACACTTCGTAAACTCAAGCGAAATTTGCAAATCATTGCATATAAGCACTAATCTCAAAAAATCAAAAGATGACATAGTTTCCAAAGGGATTCCATCCAAATAATGGAATAGAAAAGCTAGTAATTTAATCCTGCTATCCACCTAGAAAACCCAATGATAGTTCCAGCGACTTAAAATATCGATTACCTTTACATTACTAGTGAGAATCCTAATTTGAGTTTAGAAAACTTCTAATTAGATTTCGATGATCATTACTTTGCTGATTCGACGACACTTTTAGATCATAGACCAAATGGCTAACATACAGAATATGCCGTTGAAATTAATTACAAATGCAAACAATACGGTGGAACTCTTATCAATTATGAAATGACCATTTTTGTACCGAATTGTGGCGATGCTCAAATCTATTGGAAAAAGTTTTGTGGAAATCCACTCACATTAAGAGAGGGATTTGCAGTAGATATGATTTATAAAAACTATAGACAAGAAATCATCAAGAACTCAGAAATCATCAATGCTTCATACTTCGATTAAGATTTAGACAATTACGTGTTCAATGTAGCCAGAGACATTAATGTGATCAAATTTATTTTACAAATGAAACAATCCAATCCTAACAATGACCCTATCCCAGAAGGCTTCATAATTGATACAGCCACTCTTAAAGCCATTCCAGAGGTCAATCTCACACAACCATATGTAGATGTTGAAATGGAAAATGTTACTAAAGCCTGGTTTGAAGGGGATTTAGTAAATGGGGGTTTGATTACTGAAAAAGAAAATGTTCTTACGCTTAATTTTAAGTGTCTCAATTTAGGAACATCCAAAATAGAAATCACTTTCCCATTTCAATACTTCAAAGATATTTCATTAGTCATTATTAAGGATTGCAATTATCCATTCAAAGTACAAAATGTCATTAATGCAAAGTATCAGGAGAGTGATAGAATAAGTAATTGTATTCTTATTATGATTAAGCCTTTGTGATTTACATCATAATATTCCTTGTTGTCATAGGCTTATTTTTCAATTTATGTATCGGAAGAAAGAAAGGATTAGCCAATATTCCCTTGCTTGCTACTGTCATTAATGTGATTCTCTGCGTCACTTGCTAATAAAAAACGTATTAAGATTTTTGTATTCTTTCCATAGTTGTGTAGGTAAATTCATTAGGAAAAGACTTGGATTGGCAGGAGAGTCATTCTTACCAATTGACGAAACCGATGAGTCCTTTTCCTCTAGTTAGAAACAGTTTTATGGTTCAATTTGAAACAACAATATTCATATCTGAAACTATCAATTAGAAATATTATTTGTTATTAATAAGATTACTATTACATATATCTTTATCAAATTGAAACATAAACTCATTTTAAGAAATTGAAAATTAATCATTTTTTATTTAATTGCTAAATCTATATTCTTATGGCTCTGATCTAAGCTAAAGTAGAGTCTATTCTACTTTCCAAGTCGTTATGTTAGGCCTTTGGGGATACTTATTAGGCTGGAGATAGAAGATTTGAAGATTTATAGAATTGTTAGACTGATTCTGAAAATCTAATTTAATCGTGAGATTTCTATTCGCTGCAGGAGGAATCCTTAACAGTGGAATCTTCGGTTAAACCTTGATGTATTTTGTCTGAGTTTAATTTTCTTTAAGACGAATAATTTGATTGGTTTGATGTCCTAAACTCACAAGCAGTCTTGTAATTTGAGAGGATTACAGATTCTTTCTTCAATGATAGAGTCTCGACCTTATCTAAATAATTGCTAGTTTCATTTTGAGATATACGTATTTATTTATTATAAATTTGATATCTTTCTTTTGAGTTGTTGATTGATGGTTTTCTCTATTTCAATCTCTTTATTTTTTTTTAGCAATTTACCATTTGCATCCTTAAGTAACCCTGATTGCAACTCATTTTATTTTTACAACAATGCGACATGATTTAATGCCCCTGCTAATTCTTTAGATAGCTATTCAATTTTATTCTCCAAGAACTAACCAATTTAACAACCAAGTTACTTGATTTTTCACCATCTGATCTGACAATCGCTCTTGTAAATGGATCATATTGATATAGGTGTAAGTATTATTATTATCTTCACTAGTTTTTTCCCCCAATGATACTCTTGATAGAGTGGCTGATTGTTCATATAAATTTTATCCCATTTTGAATTTTTCATAATAATCTTGTTACAATAAATAAGCATAATTTTGGGAATTATCAAGAGAATTGTTTAGTTATTATTGCCCATTCTCCTCATCCTTATTCATTTATAATAAATTAATTAAAGTTGATTATCAAATATAATTAAAACAAGTAAAATACTTTGTAAATTAAATCTATATTAATAAACAAATGATGTCTTAAATAAGTAATGGTTATTATCTCAACTCTACAGGCTATATCTTTTCTCGTAATCACGTAAGGATTATTTTCGGTTGGTTACTCAACACAGTTAAAAATACAATTTTTTTTATTAAGTTGTGGAAATGTTTAAAAAAAAATTTTATTTATAGTGGTTGATGAAAAGAATTGTCACTTATTTTGTGATCGCACTTTATTTCAACCCCTTTTTTCTGAAGTCATCAGAAATAAGGGGCTTCCTCAATTCGAAATTAGACTTGATGACGACGAACTCAAATCCTTGGAGTTCTTGTTCAAGTTGCTAATGTTTCTGGTGATCTTCAAATCAACCTTGTTAATTCTAATAATATCTTGTTGGTCTTGGAGCAGCAAATCTTTATCTGAATTAATCATATAGATTACCTTAGGATTGGAAGCTGATTAATTGTTGGGGAATAGCAAGCTGCTCCACCTAAGCTTCCTACTCTTCTTATTGCCATTCCCCTTTATTTTCTTAGTACATTGGCATTTCAAAGTAATCATTATTAAAATCGCCTTTTTTAAATGAACTTCCCCCGACCATAGTATTTCTATTCACCTAAAACGCACTAAATTTATTCCCTTTTCTTACAGATTTCCCAGTTTTTCTAATACTAAGCTTAATTTTGCTCAACGATCTAAAACATAATTAGATAAAGTCTTACTAATCTGCATTTTGCTTTTCCTCTAGGGTTTAAATATTTATTCCTACTATCTCGTCAAACAAATCAGAGAAGTAATATTATGAAGAAGCTATTTCGAGCATCTCAACTTCTGGGTTATATTCAGCAATCATTTAAGAGATCTCATTTGTCACGCTAGCACTTTAAATATTTGAAGACATTATGTTAATAACTGATGTTTGGAAAAATTTTGTTGATTTAATTAATATCCTTAGGTATTTAATAATCAGCTCAAAAACACAGGATTTTTAAATGCTTTTATTTTCCCCTAGAAATCGCTCGCATTTCTCAAACAACTAGACCTACCAAGAAGAATAAACATTTTTCAATTAAGTTATTTAACAATTTGAAGTTTTAAATCAATAAAATTAATTCTTCCTTTACAAATTATTTTACTTTATTTTAGACAATATTGTCATAATAATGTTTTAACTAATAGAGACTGTTTCTATCTACTGGACAATATAAATTGGTACCTTTAACAAATTTGATTGTGATAATTTCAATAATACAGATTATTGATATTATTAATTCTTTCTTAATAAACTATTGAATTATATAAAAAATATCCTATTGCAATTCCTTTGCTCAAATCTATTTGAAATTTCAGAGTATTCCAATATTATGCAATCCCAAGATCAATTATTGGAATTCTAGTTGGAATTCACAACATAGATATGATTAAATCTAAAATTTGCACTAAAAAGGTAGTTCTAGGAATAATTTCATTTAAGTCATTAATTGAATTATGAATGAATGGCTATTTTAGAAGGATGTGGAAAATAGATTTTGAAAGAATTTGGTTAATATAAATATGAACTAAATTGTTATTTAAATTATTAATTATTTTTATTTCTAGAATAATAATCTACATCGATATGCTATTTAGAGGCATAAATAACTACAAAAGCATGAACACCATTTTGGATTAAACAGAGAGTTAAGGAGCTTTGTGGTTAGGAGACTACACTGCAGCAATCAATCAATAACTCTTGAAATAAAAGAATATCAAAACCGTATTAACAGTTGCATCAGGTTTAAATGTTAAATATCCTCCTACTTCAGATATTGTTCATAAAGTATGAATCCTTAACATAATCATAGGTCTACAACATTCTGGATATTGAATCGTGTAATATAAAGAGAATATGGGGAGATACCTACTAATAAATAGACGAGGGTCTACAAAAGGGCGGCGTGCTGGTACATTGTGCTGCTGGTGTATCTAGATCAGCTGCTACAGTTATTGCATATCTCATGAGAAAATAGGGAATGTCATTTTAAGAAGCATTTTAATTTGTGAGGTTGAAGAGAAGCGTGGTTTGCCCTAACTTTGGATTCTAACGATAGCTCAAGCAATTTGAAAGAGAACTACTGAATGGTAATGGGAAGGTTGAAACAGAAATTGCTTAATAATAATAATAATAAATATCTTAATCAGCAGTAAAGCCAATGATTTAATAGCAATAATTATCAAATCTAACAATACAGCCTCATTAAATTCCAATCAGCGAAAAAAAAACAACAATTAGAAGAAACTAGTTAACCCCTGCTTCTAAATTACCAAAACCAGTGTTTTCAAATAATGTTAAGCAAGCTTAATCTTTGAAAAAATGATTTTAATATTTATCAATAATAATCATCATTCAGTAAAATTACTTAAACCTGTGATTCTACTATTTTTTTTTATGTTAACTTAGAATCCTATAATTTGTTTCTTAAATATTTGAATACCTAATGTGAATAAATTTCATATAATGATCATCATTTCTTATAAATCAAATTGATTTTCTTAAAAAATCAAGACATTGATATCTTAAAATTTTAATAGTGTATCAGCTGTTCCAATTAAATTCTAATCATTTTATGCTATGATATTATTAATCTTAAATTGTTCTAAGTAACATAGACACTAGTATTTGGTGATAATAATAATTGCAATGAAAAATGATATTAATAGTTGATATTAAAATTTTTCCTTAATATGATTTTGAGTGATAAATTTATTGAAGAAGTACAAATTTTGGATGCAGTCGATTTGAATTCATACGAAAAGATCATAAATTTTGCAATAAGTTACATCGTTAAGCATGACACTCAGACAACATTGGCAGGTTTAGATAGAGATTAATTATATTTATAGAGGTGCTTGAAATTGATGAGAATGAAGCAGATAGATACTTCAGGTTGGCATTAAAATTAGTGTCCTATTTCGGGAAGTTCAAATTTGGGGATAGATAATTTAGACAAAATGTAGAATTTCTGAAATTCAAGGAAGACAGAAAAGCATTGTTTTTACAAGTATTGCCATATTAAGATGAATATAGAAATTAGAGGCAAATTCAACTCAGTTGCACAAGAGACTCAGTTTCATTGAGTCGGATGGCATGCCCTATTACAAGAATTTGGAATGGAGATATGACATCTAAGTGATATGTTGGTTCTATTGTTTTAGATAGCATCCAGAGGGTATGAGGAGGAGTTCAAGCCCAGAATTTTCATGAAATTTGATTTGGAGTACGACAATTCAAGAGAATGCGGAAAAATTGAGTAAGTGTTTTTGGAGACTGATTATGCGAATCTCAAAAACCTTTAACAGGAGATAAGCTATTTAGTGTCGCAATTAGAATCAGCTAGATAACAAAAAATAAAGAAGCTGGGTTAGATGTTATGAAATTTATTAAAAATATAAATAAAAATATTATTTTGTTAAAAGAATGTCTTCTAACATATATTTAACATAGACTTAAATTCATGATTTATTCGAGCCTTGCGAAACCAAAAAAATCGAGGTTAAAACTTTAGACATCCCCTCATTCGGTGATGATAACTCAAGTTAATAGTCACCGGAGTTTCAGTAGGAAGTAAGTGAAACTTGATTATCAATGAAGGCATACTATTTTCTTTCTAGTTGCAAAAAGGACGAAAACTACACCACAAATCCAACAAACAACACAAACCGCCACCTAAGTCAGGATTCTATCATAGAGTTGAAAGATGATACAGTTAGAAGTATGTAACAATGTATATTTAGTTCAGTATCGAAGGCTGAATATGAGAGTTTGAAGAGAGATGCACAAAACTACCAGGCTTTGATGAAATTGAACCTCAAATTGAAGGCGCACAAACAAATGAAAAACTAGGCTAATTCTTACTAATGTACTAATTGTTATTTTTATGAATCAGCCCAAATTTATGTGGCATAAGAATGTAATAAGAAACTGCAGGGACACATTTATGAGCTTCTTGAAACGATAAAGATTTTGGAAGCTGAAAATTAATAGTATTCTGAAGATTTATTAATACTGAGATTGCAGATACAGGATTAATTAAAAATAATACAATAGGGTAAGATTGATATTGAGAGATTAAAAATAACCATGATTGAAAAAGAGGAAAGCTTAATCGAGTTACAAGACAATTACAAAAAACTCTTTAAAGAAACAGAAAGAACAAAGAATTCTAAAAGTGCTTAACGTAGTACATATGTATCTACTCATACTTCGAGTCCTTTATTCAAAGGGCTGTCAAGAATTTGTCTTAATAATTACTGTAATTCAAGTTTTGTTATTGAAAAATAGCGATAATGAGTAATTTGTTTTTTCCATTATTTATGATTATTATATATTCTCATTTAACAGGTTGCTATTCCCATTTAAACTGATGTATCTGATATAGATAAATCCATAACAGAAGGAGCAGTAAAGATGGAATTGTGAATAAAAATATTAGTTGTTTCTGACTACTTTTAAATTCAATAAAATTCAATTCTCAACACAACCCATTTTTAATAAATCAATTTTGATTCAAAGAATGATAGATTCATTAATCTCTTATGTTATTGATTTACCAATAGTTTTTGAATTTCTATTAGAAATGAAAATATCTTAGAATTAAGGAAATAAAATGTGTAAGGATTAAAGAATTCGAATACTCAATTACAATTAAATTCGATTCTCTTTTTATACACTTAAACTTACTAATTTGGCATCATAGACTGATAACTATTCCTAAATTAAATTAAAACTCCCTTTTTGTTGGTTTAATAAAAATAATTGAATTATTCAATACTCTATCACTAAACTGTTGTTCCTTAGTATATTCTGGGAATATAGATATACTTTAAAATATAATTGATTTATGAAGATAGATTATATATAATAATCAAAATAAATTACAAAATAGAATGAGGGCTGGATTACTAAAAAATTATGGACCAACTCAAGTATTTCCAGAAGGGAAGTAGGAAAGAGCGTAGTCGCTTTATGATATTACAAATCATTACTTAAAGGCTTAAGTTGGCAAGAATGATCAGAAATCGAAATCAGTTAATACTTATGGAGTTGAATGTACTTTGGAATAATACCATATTTAGAGCGGGACTTCTATGATTAGTTGAGATTGAAGGGGAAGGAGAAAAAGATGTATTGAATTGTAGAATTTTCATGTAGTTAAAATTAAAGTTCCCACAAACCTATTTTTAAGTTGAGAGGCGACAATGTCGTAGCGATAAAATCGAAGGATCGAGAATTGTACCCTGCAGATATCCAATGGAATAATGGGCAGATTGGTAGAATAAAGGGGGAGATTAGCGGGAAAGTTGACAAGAATTATGCGAAAGTAAATAATAGTAAAAAATAAGATAAGAAGATATTTGGAGGGGTCATCAAGTGTAATTGATTATTCAGAATCCAAGATGTACGACAAATTCAATTCGTATACCAACATTACGAATCAGGAACGATTTTCAAAGGATTGTGATATCATGTTCAGAACTAGCAATAATGCTTAACCTGGGAATGTTCAATCCGTTGGAAGTATATAGAGGACTAAATATGAGCCGGATTGGATTCAAAGAGGGAAATACTGATAATTTATTTATATTGAAAATGCGGATATCTATGAAATTAAATAAAATTAAAATAAAATGGGGCCATATCTAAGTTAACCAAAAAGAGAGAAAGTAACCACGAGTGGAGAAGGAAAGTCTGTAATATTTGCAGCTTCGGAAATGCAAGGTATCACATTTTAGGATGTATAATAAAGGATGGAGAAACACAATGGAAGATGCTCATATTCACAAACCAGATATAGTGCAAGATGTATCTGTTTTTGGAGTCTTCGATGGACATGGAGGAAGAGAAGTGGCCTAATTTGTAGAGAAACACTTTATCGATGAATTGCTAAAAAATAAAAATTTTAAGGATCAGAAATTTGAAGATGCTCTCAAAGAGACATTCTTGAAGATGGACGAATTGTTGATGACACCAGAGGGAGCCAAAGAATTGAACAATTACAAGGCCAATGATTCTGATGGTGATTATTAAAGTAATTAATAGATTCTTATGCTGGATGCACTGCCAATGTAGCTTTGATTCACAAGAACACCTTGTATGTTGCCAATGCAGGAGACTCAAGATCAGTATTATGTAGAAACAATACAAATTTCGATATGAGTGTTGATCATAAGCCAGATAATTAAGAAGAGAAGTAAAGAATTGAAAGAGCAGGAGGCTTTGTAAGTGATGGTAGAGTCAATGGTAATTTAAATATTCTTAATCTTCTCTAGGCAACCTCAATTTATCAAGGGCCTTGGGAGATTTGGAATATAAAAGTGACAGCAAATTGAGACCCAATGAACAATTAATTATTGCCTTTCCTGATGTCAAAAAAACAGAGTTGGGCCCTCAAGACAAGTAAGATCTTTAATGTTATTGAAGATTCATATTGATGGGATGCGATGGAGTGTTTGAAACTCTCAATCATTAAGAATTGCTTAAACATGTCAATACAACCTTGGGAAATTCACCTGTCACTGAAAACTTATTAAGTAAAGCAGCTGAAGATTTATTGGATTAATTGTTAGCCCCAGACACAAGTTAAGGAACAGGTTGTGATAATATGACAACCATTTTAGTGTATTTGAAAAAGTGAATAGGATTTTAAACAAAATAACATTAATGTAACAATATCAATTATTAATTGTATCATCAATAAATAGTTTCCATTCTTTTAATATTTTAAAGATAGATCATTGCTTTATCTATTGTCCAATATCTATTAATCTCATCCCAATATTGTTATTTTATTTCATATCTTCAATCAATAGTTTGGTTTTGAAATATTATTATGTCATTCTTACTATATATTAAAATCGAATATTAACCCCCAAATCTAATCTACCCTTACAATTTATCTCCTATTTTTGTTGTTAATTGTAAATAAATCTCATCATTCATAATCAAACCAAATCCTACTCATTTATCTTAAATCAATCCTATATACTAAACACCTTTGCTTATTGATAGTTTCATGTTCACTGCTTTAATTTTTGTCATTCTATCTAATAATTAATATTAATTGTCAAATTAATTAAATTTTTATTATCTTTAAAAAAGCTATTTTTTCTATAAGTTTTTTGTTCGTAAAACACACTATATTCTTAGCGAATCAAATTTTAAAGTTACTAACTTGATTTTTATGATTAACACCTTATCAAATAAATTATAGTCATCAATATTTAAGGATATTCTAGAATGCAAAGTTCAAGAATTACTTTATTAACCTACAACAAAATTTAGACAAACTTAATAAACTTTAGTAACAGTGAAACGAAAAGTAGAGTTGATTCAATGCGTCCAATAAGGTCTAAATAGTAACTTTGGTGTAATTTTTCACCTGATATCTTGTAGCTTCAATCGATGTCTCGTAGATATAAATTCAATCAAAATTTATACATATATATTTCAAATAAAAAATTTAGAATAAATAAGTTCAGCAACTTTGTCTGATTTATTTTAAAAGTCATTCATTATTTAATAGTCAATTAAAGTACGAGAAAATGAATTCTGCTAAGACTTTTTACATTTCAAGCAGAAAGCCATCAAAATTTTTTTTTGATTTAACCATTTATGAAATCTGTCTTTCAAGATTTTAAAACCCTTTTACATTTTATAACTGTATTGCTTTAGTTCTCGCGTTCATGTGTACCTCTCCTTCCTCTTGAATTAGATCAATCATCTCAACAAATGTGACATAAATCTAAGATTTATATCTATATTTTAATCTTGCCTTAAGCCAACCAGTGTTTTCAGTTTATGTTTGATCCAACTTATACTTCTGATTTGAATTTTGAAATATCTCAATAGCATTATACTCATTACCCAATACTTTTAATTGTAATATCTGCCTATAAGCATGGAATCAATTTGACACATCTTTTTACAACCATAGACAGTTTAGTTAGTTTTGAACTGATCCTGGGTTCTGATTTGTTGCCAGATCATGCTTGCTAAACTATTTTGGATTCCATGCTTCATGAATTGGTGAGCTTGATCAATGAACTCATCCTTTATTTCCCCTACATTAAGTTATAAATGACACCTATTATTGGATATATTGGAGTGGGTGGATAAAATACATAAGGCTAGATTTGCGGTATATATTCGGGTTGTTTCTACTCAAATGAGTCTGATTCACTTTTAATTTATAATTCATTCAATGGATTTTGGTATCTTTAAAAAGAGTTGTCCCCCTCTAAAATATATTAAAACCTTAAGGATTACATTTCAGAATTGGAATTTTTGAGTGCATATTATTATTCAAATCCATTATTTTTATAATAAAATATAATCCATAAGCATATACTTTAAAACTACCTTATCTGCATAAGGGTATAAAAGTAGGTAATTCTCTTGATTCTACATTACTTTAGAGTGTTAATTTTAGTTTTGTCTAGAGAGAGCAATAGCAATCAGATTATAATTAAGAATGTAAAATGTAATAACTTAACAAAAAACAAATTTTTTTTTATGAAGATTGTTTATCAAAATCATTAAAATTTGAATATATTTTTTATTAGAAACTTAATAACATACATTTTAGCGTTGTTAAATGATATATTTAATTCTTTAATAAAATACATCATTTGAATGAGTGAATGCTAATTTAAGGAGGGTCAATTTAATTTGTACACTTAAAATCGGCTTTAATATGAAAGCAAATTGATGGCGGTTTTTGAATAATTGAAAGAGAATGCAGGAGAGTTCGAACATCCCCATGAATTTGTGATCCAATATTTAAGATAATTTAAATTCTAAGCTGAATACAAGGATCAGTCTTTAAAATCTGTAAACATCAATCAATTATTCCCTAATCGGCTTTGGGAATTTGATTTGACAGGTAAAGGTATTAATTAAGGTAGAAAAATTTATTAACAGTATCAGAACTTACCTCTGCACTCCATTATTGCTAGTCATGTCTTCCTTATTATAAGGAAGATTTAATGAAGAAAATAAGGAATATACAAAGATATTACATTTAAATTGCGGTAGCTTGAAATTGCCTTTTTAATATGCTTTTGTTGCAAGCTTACTTCCGTTGGAATCTCTATAAATAATTGTCTTAATTTTGCCATAAAAGCATTACATCACCAATTCATCAGGGGAGTTAGAATAGATTAAGTTTATTCATAAAATGCGTTTTATTGATGCAATCTATGAATATAATGGAAATAGTGAGCACATAATAAAGCAATCCTAGACTATATTAGACGAATACCTTCATCAATAATTGAAATAAAATGACATCTTATCAAATATTAAATTGATCAAAGAAAAACAAAAGTAATGCCAATTTTCAACTAAAGTAAAAATAGGAATCAAAACAAGAAATAAAAATCTACTCATCTAACCTCGATCATTTGAAACTGTAAAATTGGATAGTCAACTGTATATATTTGATGACCAAACAAACAACTGGATTACTAAGAAATTATATGAGTCAATTCAGAAAAAGATTCTGAAAATTAATGCTTAAACTGCCAATTATTATATGATAAAGGAATATATTTGTCTACCTTCAGCTTAATAGATCAGTAAACTAATATCAAAATTACCAAAATTCAAAAATAAGATAACCGAATAATAACTATAGGCAATTGTGTGGAAAGGCATTACATTTATTTTGGGAAGAAGTGGAACTGGTAAAACAACTTGTGCTTTATTTAAAGTATTTATACTAGACGCATTGTTTAATTTAAGATAACAATTAAAAACATAAAATGCACAAGTTTACTCTTAAATCAAATAAGAAACTCAAAATTAATTAATACAGAAAGATAAACTTACCTTAAAAACACTTTTTGTAACAGCTAGTCCTTTGTTGGCATGGTAAATTAAATAAAATTATCTACAATTAATTGAAAATTTTTAAGAGTTGGTAAAAGAGAAATTTTAGAAAAAACCAGAAGAAACAGAAGAATTTCATGAAATGGAAGAGGAAAGCTTTTATGAGATTATTAAGGAACTTCAAGAGTCGTAAACCAAGGAGGATAATTCAGATACTGATGAAGATGATATGGATGACTATGAAAAAAAGATGGGTAGATTTTAAAAGTTGAGTGATATAACAGAATATCCAGCATTTTTAACTCTGAGGAAACTTATTTTTTCAGTTGATGCTTCACTTCTTAATCCTTATTTTAAATTTACTTAAACTTAACATTGTTCTGCTCAATGGCACAACGAACAGATAGGGATTGTTACATTAAATCAATCAAACTAACATAGTTATGAGAAACTATAAAAGAAAATAAAAGATTATGATGATAAGGAGTTTATTTTTTATAACAATACTTAAGAAGTGACTTTCGATTTGTTTTTAAATTGGATTTGGCCAAAAATAGTTAAAAAAATAGAACATTAAAATCAGAAGATAAAGAAGCTAGATCCTGCATTAGTTTGGTATGAGATTATGTCAAAAATTAAAGGTCATGCTACTTCATATTAATATCCGAATAGATATATGAATTATGACAACTATTCCTATTATCACAAAGTATTATCAGATGAGTATACGAAACTTTTATACAAAGCGTTTGAAAATTATGAAATGATTAAATAGAATTTAGGTTACTATGATCTATTGGATGTTGTAAACCATATTAATTATGAATTACAATATGGAAATGATGTTATAGAGAATGTGCATTATCTAATTTTGGATGAACTTCAAGATATTCCAAATGCCGTGTTTATATTGTTAAATTAAATTGCAGATTTTGGGTTGATTTGTTGTGGAGATAATGCTTAAAATATTTAAAAGGGTACTGGGCAATAGTTTGTTGAATTTCGAAATCTCTTGAACGATTCCAACCTAAAGAAAAATTATAGAAATAACGAGATCTGCACATTCAAATTGCCTCGAAATTTTAGATTTCATGATTAAATCTTATAGTTAACTAATTCAATAATAAGGATGATAGAATTATTATTTCCTTATAAAATCGATGTATTTGATAAGGATGAAAGATCTTGTCTACAAGGTCCAAAACCAATTGTAATTTAGAGCGAAGACGAGCAAATATTACTGAGCTATTTAAAAAAGAATTCCAAAATCGAATCGAATTAGATTACCTTCGGAAGTAATTAAGTGATTATTGTGAGAGATTAAGAATCAAAACCTAAAGTGCCAGATTCACTTTAATAAACCCTAATACTTACAATTTATGAAGCAAAAGGATTAGAATTCGATGATGTCATTTTATTTAATTTCTTTACTGATAGTGATTGCACTTCAGATGACTGGAATATCTTGAAAAACCTTTAGATAAAAGACGTTTTCGTTAAGATTGAACAAAATTATAATGTATTTCTGCCCCATGAATTTAATTAGACTATTGAGATGAAAAAGTTATTTTTAATATAGAATACCTAATAATAAAATTTATCAGATAATATTGATAAGTTTGTCAACTACTAAACACTTTGTTAAGAACTTAAACTATTATACGTGGCTCTCTCAAGAGCAAAAAGATAAATCATCATTTATGATAATAACTATACAAAGAGAAAAACAATTCAAAAAATATGGGAAGAAATGTAAGTCATTGAAATTATCTACACAACATAATTTGAAAATGTCTAAGAATTTGAAATTCTTTTTAGTTAACAATTCGACAATAAGAATAATTGGAGAAATTAAGGATTAAACTTTTTTAGAGTAAATAATTATGAATAAGCTAAAAAATGTTTCAAATTTGCTAAGGACTATCAATTAGAAAAAAAGGCATAGGCATATCAACTAGCAACATAAGCAACTCTAACAGATAATGGAGAACATTTATTTCATGAGGCTGGCTTGCTTTTTGAAGAGTTGAATATCAAAAACAGAGCAGCTCAATGTTATTTTTCAGCAAAGAAGTATAAAGATGCCTATAGATTATATAATTAATTAAATGCTAAAATGGAAATGGCTGAAGCTGCTTATTTCTGTAGGCAATACGAAGAAGCTGGACAACTGTTCCTTGAAGTTAAAGACCTTAGAAGATCAATCGAATCCTACATATAGCAAGGCAATTACAATAAAGTAGTTGAATTAATTCTAAAACATTAAGATGATTTATCGAAAGAAGAATACCATATATATCTAACTAAATACTTCCCAATTATTTTGTAGTAAATACTTGATGAAATTGAGATCCAAAATCAGATGCTTGCTAATGAGATTGAAGAACAGTCAGAGAGTTTTTAAGTGTGTAATTCTGAATTATCTTAATGCAGTGAAAAATTGGAGTTTAAATTCAATAATTCAAAGTAAAGTAGGATTGAAAATTAATCCAGCTATTCAGAATCATTTTAGGTGATTAACAGTGACTCATTTGATCATTTGTCAAGTTATGACCCTGATGATGAATGGATCTAAAATGATAAATTATAATTGCTATCATCAATTGCTTCTATTGATGTTCATTAATTAAATGAAAATAAAATATTATTGTTAAATTAAGTGGATGGAACAAGTTTTATTAAAAATTAGAATAAAAAGGTAACTCTTAATGATTCAACATTAATTTAAATAATTTAATTATTGGGATAAATTTCAGAAGACTTTAAAACTCATATTCAATCAAAATTTGGAAATTAACTAGATTATTCGAACATTATTAAAGTAATTGATATTGATACCATCAAATTAATTTTGAGTCTTTTAGAGAAGTTTTAAAATTATAAGCTATGCATTTATATTTGTAATTAATTTAAACTTTTAGATCAAATTGGAGAGTATTTAGTTACTCTAGCTTCAAAATACACACCAATTTATAAAAATTCTATGAGAGTAGATACTCAGATGGTAAGAAATACATTAAGGAGAAAGCACCTATTAGATTAATCCTCAATAGCACATTTAGCATTATAAAATATATTTGAAGCTATAAATCCTGAAATTCTTAAATTCAAATATGAAGATTATCTTGATTTTAATAACAGCTTTGGTCTTAAATGCTATTAAGATTTAATTGGACTCGGTTTTTGGAAACAAATCATCTTTTAAATGAATTATCAACACTCTAAAGACTTATGTCTGTCTTTCAATAACCATTCAGATTTAGTTAGTATTTTATAACACATGAAAAAGGAGAGGGGAGATAATTCGTTAAACTCAGATTAAAAATATTAATTAACAAAGAGTTAGTACTTATTATAAGTTGAATAATACTTCATTGATAAAAAAATAAGCGTAATTTAGATTGATTAGATATTTGAAATCACTAATTCCATCACTAAAGGTGATATAATTGATTCTAAAAAAATCAACCAAATAATATGTAATGCAAAACTTAAAGAGTAAAATTTAGATTTTGAAAACAAGTTGATATAATTAGAATCTGTTATTTTAAGTTACCTATTATGCTGTGGTATGATATCACCAGAAGGTGCAACTTTGGAATAAAAGATTCATTTAATTAATATCTTATACTTTTGTATAAATCAAATCAAAAGCATTTGCTGGAATTAAAATTTAGTAGATGCGATTCAGTTTTTATTTAAGTTTTCCTTTCCAAAAGGAGAAATTATGAATAATTACTCATAATATGCTTTATTGAGTGTTTAATCTAAGCTATTAAAAAATATAAAAAATGAGTAAATATTTTTTGTAGATTCAAGTTTTGAATATCTTATGGTACCTTTTGAGTAATTATTAATATATATAACAAACTATTTTGGAAGAACTAACATACAAGAACTTAAAAGTTTTGAATATTAGTAAGATCTTCAATAACATTGTTAAAGTCCTTTGACATTCATAATTAAATAAATAAAACATTAATAATTATAAAGTGTGCTATAGCCATGTATTTAACATAATATGAATCTATAAAATAGTCTTAAAAAATAAAAAGATTCTACAATAAATAATTCAATTGAGTAGGATGAGTAGGATGAGTATTCTATTCTTTCAGTAATTAATGAAAGTGGCCAAAGTTAGTTTTATGATTATCTGTTAAAAACCAACTAAAATTCAGCTAATTTACCATTATCAATTTCAAAATCTGTGATCCACTAATGTATAATGTTGTTTTAGTAAGCTTTTAAAAGTTTCGGTTAGGAATAACATGCTTATTTAATTTTAGCAATTAATCTTTGCAATTTTTCAAATAATCTCCCATTAGCTATTTATTCAATATAATCGATTGAAGATAAGCATTAAATAAAGAAATATTTAAAATATATCGAATTTTTAGAATGCTAAAATTACAACATAACTGAAGACTTAGTTGCATGTTTTTTGGATTATTGCTATTTTTGTGAGTAAAATTTGTATCTAGATGAATTGAGTAATCACTTAATACGAATTGGACTCAAATTAATACTGGCATAAGATGTTTTAACTACAATTGTTATTCCTGATTATTACTTAGAACTTTTAGACTAAGATGTAGAAATCGAATATACAGTAAAACAAAATACTTAATTCCCTTTTAAAAATAAAGAAGTCATGATAGAGTATTTTCATTGCTTATAGAATTATATCTAATCCTGTAATTCACCTTCTTACGAATCGATTGGGTATTTATTATTAATAGTTTTATCCTTAAATTTATTCACTATTCCCAAAGAATTGTAAACTATAATTCAAAATATTTTGTCTCCTTAAAATGTAAAGGCTTAATTGAAATAAATTGTATCCAGTTTAAATTTAAATTTAGAATCAAGAAGAGCTAAAATTCTTTCGGAGTAAGATTTGCTAGTTGTAACTGATTATTTGGATGAGAAATTTATCTCATTGTAGGTGATCTAAAGCAAAGTGAACGATAACCAAAATATAGCAATCTATCAAGAATGCTTAGATAAATGGGATTTACATCTCTAATAAGCTGAGAAATTAAGAATCAATGGAAAATAGATTTTATAACATTATCTTAAGCATAAGCAAAATATTAAAAAGAATTCTTAGGTAGAGCTAATGTCTAATCCAGCAATTGCACGGTTCATTTAATACTATTAATTACCTTCTTCTGTCTTAAAATGTGTCAATTATGATTAAAATTGGAAGAGTCAATTGATATATTCATATAAGCTATAGGAGTACTTATTTTTATATATTATTTAGTGAACTGTTGAGAGCTAGAGTTCAGTCTCGAACCATGAAAGATTTACAATAAATAAGGATTTATTTAGAATCCATAATCAATTTACAATAGGAATTGAATAAGAGTCATTATATTTAAGATTAATTAATTAGTGTTGAAAGAGAATTTAGAGAATATCAAGAATGCAAAGGGAAAGAGTAGATGTTATAGTAATCGATGTTGGAAAGAAATAGGGAGATGTTGAAGATCAAATGGTAAAATTTATAGGCTGGAATCAAAGTTTAGAACAAATTAAGCAATACTTAGAAAAAGCAATGCATAAGAATTTAAGAATAGGATGAGGAAGAACAGATGAATATAATTTGAAAATAAAATTATATTTAATTGATGAAGTGCATTTTAATTTATAATTAATTATTAATTTCGATCACTTATTTAGAACCGGATAAATATTGATATCATTATAAATGTCCCTTTGTATCTGATGGGTGTGAAAACGGTCCACCAAGCCAAGGTCTAAGAATTCAGAAGGCGATTTTATAAAATATCATTAAATTAAAGTAGGGTTGTTATAAATATAATTAAAAGTGACCTTATGTAGATTTTGGGCAGATTATACTTATTGGTAAATAGAGTTTAAATTTGTTGACTTATCGTTAATTTATTAATCATAAAATATATATAGATAGTTGAATTTATTATAATGAATAATGCTCTATTAATCACCATTCTAAGAAGGGATCGTCTGCTGGTTTAAGAGCAGGGCTTTGGGTGTCGGATTCTGGGTAGGATGAAAAATTGGATGTATCATTTGGAGCTCTAAGTAAAATTAATGAGAAATGGTGCACTTACTTCACAACAGGCTTATATGGAACGGGTAATTTCTTTTGAGTAAGGAGATTCCAATCTAGACTTGCAAACCATCTATGATTTTTAACATCAGCAGCGCCTTAGATTAGAAATGAGTAGTGTTACCATTTTTTAAATTTCCATATCTTTTAGAAAGATCAGCCACAAGTAAATGCTTGACCAAAGACTTAGCATTCCTTTTGATTTAAGACATAATGATTACTTATCAAAGCTTTTTGGGAATTTAACTTTGCCCTTCAAGATCTTTTGATAAATGGCCATGGGATCTTCATCTGAGAAGGGATCGATTCCTGCATTCATTTCATAAATTAAAATTCCCAAAGTCCACCAATCGACAGCCTTGCCGTGTCCTTTGTTCAACAGAATTTCAGGAGCCAAATACTCTGGGGTTCCACACAATGTATAGGTTCTTCCCTCTACGACTTTAGCGAAGCCGAAATCTGTTAATTTGAGATATCCATCATCCGCAATCAATAAGTTCTCTGGTTTAAGATCCCTGTAGATGATGTTCTTGGAATGCAGGTACTCGAACATGGAGGCAACTTGGGCACCATAAAAGCTAAGGATGGATGGGGAATGTTTACGCTGCATGTGAAGTATCGAGTCTTCCGATGCTTCTTAGGTAAGTGAACAACTCTCCTCCAGACACGAATTCTAAGACTAAATAGAGATATCTTGGATCTTGACAGAAGCCTTCAAAAGTTACCTAAAATTGATCATCGATAATACAATAAATGGGTGCTGTAAATTTCCCAATATGGTGTTTTCATTAATCACATGATCAACTTGCTTGAGTCTAATGATCTCAGCTTTTTTTAGACTTTTCAAGGCAACATATTTATTGGTTTGTTTATTCCTTGCCAGTTTCACTCTTCCGAATGAACCTAAAATTCAGCATTTCAATTTTTCATTACCAGTACCCAAGGTTTGAAAGACTTCGTAATCTGTGAGTTTCAGTTTTTTAGGTTTAGCAAGTCCTGTGCTCATCGATATAAAGATTTAAATAAATAATTTAAGGGAAATGGTTTAATATAAATGCTCAGTTTATACTATTTATAATTTGAAAAAACTTATACGATCTTGAAATAAATTAGAATGGATTAATTTATAAGGTCAGATTTTATTTGTTATTTATAAAATAAATCATAGTTTTGCTAATCCATATCCTTGAGCATTATTTAGATCATTGAATATGTGATTTCCATAAACAAATTTAGAAACCTGTCTCAAATGGAATTCACACGGTCCATCCACAAATCTAAGAGCCTTGGCTAAACGCAAAATAAGACTCAAAGGTTACTCTTCAGTCACTCCCTCTGCCCCAAATATTTGCATGCAAGAATCCAAAATGTACTGACTAGCTTTAGGAATGTGAGCCTTACATTCGCTAACAGCCAGGAACGCATTTAAGTGTTTATTTCCAACTGAATCCAACAATAACCCAGCATTTAAACACAATAATCTGCATGATTGAAATGCAATTTCCAGATCTCCTAATTTCTCTTGAAAAGCAGCATTATCCTTTAGTTTTTCTTTGAAGATCACTCTTTTCTCAGATCTTGACAATGTTAAATCTAAACTCCTCCTAGTTAATCCATTAAGTCTAGCACAAAGATTTAATCTTTCTTCCAATAATCTATCTTCAATCATTTTGATTGCTCCTCCAAGTGGTCCTAATAGATTTTCATTGGGAACAAAGGCATTATTGAATTGAATTTCTGAATAACTGTGAGGAAGGTCGTAGAAATTTTGAGAAGAGAACTGTCTAGTTATTTGTATTTTAGGATTGTTCATGTCAACCAGAATCATAGATTAGGTCTCCTTGGGATTATTTGTATGCTAGGATGACTTACCAACCACAATTCCAAAGATTGCTCTTTCATCAGCAGCATTTTAGACAAACCATTTTCCACCATTTAGAATGAAACCTCCATCTTTCGGTGTGATAGTGAATTTGTTATTTTCTTAATCTGCAGATGAGACATCTTTCTCAGTTATAGCAAAAAATGATTTGCATTGACCTTCTAATAATGGTTTTAAATATTTCTCTTTTTAATATTGTGTTCCATATGCTATCAATAATCTTATGTTTCCTGTATCAGGGGCCAAACAATTAAATACTTCGTGGCCTATAAAACTTAATCCTATAAGGTCTGAAATGAACACATATTCAAGATTAGTTAAGCCTTTTCCATACATAGGATCCAGGATGAATAAATTCCATAAACCAACAGATTTGGCTTTCCTTTGAAGATCTTCTAATTCTGTAATTGGTTTGTTGGGTAGAGACCTTGGAACCTCTCTGGCTTTGTCCAAGATGGCCTTTTCAATGGGGAAAACCTCATCTCTCATGAAGTCCTTGATTCTATAATAATAACTCTTGCATCTTTCAGAAACAGGCCAATGTGACCAGATTTAGCCATCATTTGTCGCTCTCATTTTGATTCCAAAGGGATCTCCTTCAGTCATCTCCAAGATTATCTCATAACCAGCCTTGGATAAAAAGTGAGAATTTTCATAATATTTTTCATCTTTCTATTATTTATAGTGGATTTGCTAATCTATTGAAGTCTTCACGATTGACTAAATGATTTAGTATCTGATATCTGGAATAACTTAGCTTGATCTGGTGGTAAAGTAGGCTGATAGTACATCTTGGATACTTGGTTGACCGATTATTTCCTCGACTCCAAACCAGCCATCAACCTGATGTTACCCATTTGAATAGGGAATGTAGTATGGTAAAACAAAACTGGCCAAATCAACGAAGGCATTTCCTATTTAAGCCTATTGCCAATCTAAAATAGCCAAAACTGTTGGTTGGGTTGGGTGGAATACAACTTTAGAGAGTGAAAAATCCCCATGTATCAAGCATAGGTTATCCAAATCAGATTTTACTGGAGTGTTTAATGATAACCAATACAAAAGATCTTCCATATTGGTTGATATTTTGGTTTCATGTTATTTATATAAGTTATGTAATTTGTTATTTAATGTTTCGTAATGACGAGTGTTTTGGTCCACATCCCCAAGGCCGAGATAATGAAAGCTAATTGAATGTAGATGAGCCAAAGCTTTGGAAACCTCTTAGAACAGTAATCTTTTATGGGCTTGCGAAATATTTAGTAGTTGTTCCATGTTGAATATTCTTCCTTCAACATATTCTGTAGCATAAAATGGAAATCCAAGAACAGATTGATCTCTGCAATAAAATAATGCCTTGGGGACAGGCATATTTGCATTAGATAACTTTTAAGCTATTGTAAAATCTTTCTCTAATTAGTTTTCCTAGACTGCAGAGATGGTGGATTTGATGTGAAATCTAATCTACTTCTTTGAGTTCCTTAAAATTTCAATTAGAAAAATACTTGAAAGAGAGTTTATAAATTTATTCTGTTAGTTGTTATATCTGGTCAATTTCAACTTCCTTCACTCCCAGAAAAACTGCCAATGTTGTCTGCTGGTTCAGATAATTTGATAAATTATATTTTTGCTGTCCTTCTGAAATGAACATATCCAAAATATATTAGATATTTTTTTAAAAATCGGTTAATTCAAAGATGTATGGATTTAATTCCAAAATGATGAGAAATCAATAATGTGTAATTAATTAAATATGATGTCATTAAACTTGTTCTAACTTTTATAAATTATTATGAACACATTTCATCATTAATCCTTCTGACCCCCTTCTTACTTTTATTAATCACAATAAAAATTCCCTCAAATCCAAAGGTTTTCAGTTGTATTGCTGTCACCTCCCCTTCTAAATGTCATCTCCTCATCATCATATGCTCTCGGACTATATGAGGATAACCCCATTGAATATTCTCACTCCAGAGTCTATTTTTTCACAATATGGATCACCAAACAGTAATTTTTTGATTAAAATGAAACTGATTAATGGTTTGGAATGTGGAGAGATCAAATAAGAGTGGAACGGTAAACAATAAATATTAATAAAAATATCAATAATTATTTGCATACAATTCTTTCTTAAGTAAAGGAAAATATTAATTTGATTTAATAATTCTTCATTGCATGATCTATGACGTTCTATTAATGAACAATATAAGAATAGTTATTGGGACTAAGTTCAAAATATTATAATTTGTCTAGTCTCGATTTATGATTTACACTCGGTATGAGTAAGGGGTTATTGTCTATTTTTAAATACTTTTTTATAAGCTATTGGTAGCATGTATTAAAAAAGTTCTTGCAAAATTGAAGAATCGTCTAAAGAATTTTGATGGGTTTCGTTGTGATCGGATAATAAAGTGAATATGCGCGAGAAATAGGAAAGCATTTAATAACTGTTATTAAAACATAATTTGAAATTCAAATTCAAATTGGGCATTTCCCCAATATTTGAAGAAATAACAAAATTAATAAATAAAAACAATAATTCGAATTTAAATTAATTGCAATGATTGCCTCTCTTACCTAAATAGAAGATTCAAACAACAATACTTTTTATAATTCCCTAAGAAGAAACTCGAAATCTGTAACCTTCGAAAAAGTCCCGAAACATTAACGAACATCAACATGCGGATCAGGAAGTACTATGGATGAAGAATATAATGAATCATGTCTGAGCAGTAGCAGAATGGATGAAGAATTAAGCAACCCCCAATTCATTAGCAATTATAGAAAGGACATATTTCGATATATTTTAGAAGAATAAGTAAATTCAATCAATCTATCCATTTAGAGTAACTACTTACCTAACTCCTGCTTTATGGAACAAACACAAAAAGACATCAATTAAAAAATGAGGTCCATCCTTATCGACTGGATTGAAGAAGTTCACATGAAATTCAAACTTGTATTTTGTTACATCTAATATCCTCTAGTCTCCAAACAGTCTCTATCTAGCCATCAACCTCATAGACAGATACCTTAGTGCCAACATCGTCAAGAGGAACAAACTTCAATTGGTCGGAGTTTCTTCCCTCTTCATCGCATCCAAATTTGAAGAAATCTACCCTCCAAATATCAAAGACTTTGTCTACGTCTGCGACAGAGCCTACACGAAGGAGGAGATACTCCAAATGGAAGGCTAGATTCTGAATACTGTTAACTTTTCACTAAACTACATCAGTCCTCTAAGATTCTTAGAATTTACTGTTATTGAAAACACTTAAATTGAAGACAATAAAGTATTTCAAACCCAATAATTTCAATTGTCATCCTACATCCTCGAGATTGCCTTGCATAGTTATGAAAGCCTTCAATACATGCCTTCATAACTGGCTCACTCGGCATTGCTCTTGTCTAACAAAATTTTAGGAATTCAATCCGAAATGGAAATCACAGACGAATCAAAATATTGTGCCACTTATTTATTGTAGCTTTACTACAACAATTAAAACAATACTTTGTATCCAGCTGTGAAGAGAAAATATGCTAGAGAAGAGCATCTGTAGGTCTCATAAATCACAATTTCAATTTGAATTTACTCTTTGTTTTTTAATTAATTGTGTGTATATATTTTATACCGATTTGCATTTTAAATGAAATTCTTTTTGACATTTGTTTTTGCCATTTTAGCATTGCAAAAACCAACAGATCCAGACAATAATTGTGTTTTCTATAAGTGTCCTGATGAATGGAGGACTTGCATAGCAAATAATACTTGCGAAAAGCACCTAACATAATGTGTCACTATTTATTAGAGGTTCTAAGAAATGCCCTATGCATTAGGACAATTCTATAATTGTTTGGTAGATGATGATAATACTCGATTGTTATATCGATGTGTAAGATAGAAATGCAATACTCCTATTAGCAATTGTTTGATTGAAGCATTTACAAAACGACTCACGTGATAATCAAGAAAATTATTAAATATTCAATATTATTCATCATTGTAATTTGTTTCTTCGTACTGTTGTTGCAAAAGTGTTTCATCATAGTTTTTCTTATTGTAAAATATCTTATCACTTATAACCTCAATGACCCTTTCGTGTTTTAGTAAGTTTTCAATCAATTTTTCTCTATCCTCCTTCTCCAACTTTACTTCCTCATTGCTTTAATCTAAATTTAATCATAAATTACTCTTATTTTTTTTCAAAGTCCTCTCGTCACTCCTCACTTAAATTATCTCTTCCTTAATATCTTCAATACACTATCTTAAAACATTGTATAGCTCTGTTTTAGCAGATAACTCTTTGATGTAAAGTTATTTGATTTCTCTTTGTCTCTTTTATTCTTTTTTCAATGTGTCCTAATAGGTTTTAATTATATTCTAATATCTATTCTCTTTAAAATGAATATTATACTTTGCTTTTTACACTTCATCAACACTTTGTGAAACTTAGGAATTTGTTATTTGAGGAAATCTTACTTGCTATTGGGATGAAGATTATTTAGATTTGTCAGTTTTTTGATTTTTAACTCCAGATTTATCTAAGACTTAACCCTAATAGGATTCTTAATCATCGTCTTTTTAAACATCATTCAATAACTTTTCATATTATTAAATTTATGATTTGAGAATGGCATTTTCCTTCTTCTTGATTATCAACTCCTTCATCAGCATTTCTCTATCTCTTTCCTAAGTTTAATACTCAACCTTCAATTCCTTATACTTTTGCATCAATTAATGATTTTCGTCGTCAATTTTCTATGCAATCTTCTTAATCCATTCTAGTTCGCTAATCAATTGATTCTCCTTTTAAATATACTCTTTATCATTTTAACCTTTCTTCTCTCTTTCCTCTTAAAATTGTTTCTTTATTTCATTAATTTTATTATTAAAAAATCTAATGATGTCTCTTTCTTAATCCACTAGGATTTTAGAAGTCCTCAACTAAATATTATTGATTCCTTCTATAATTTTGCTATGATCTTTGTAAATCATCTCCATTATTTTCTTATCAGTCTAATCCAAGGCAGTTCTAGATCTCAATTCTTATTGCAATTCATCGATGGTTTTCTTAAATTCCATTTCCCTTTACACATATCTCGCTATAAGTTCTTCCCTCAGTTTTTTCTTGTCTTCATTGTGTTATTATTATATTTCTTATAATTTATTCAACCATTCTATTGAATTTAACTCACTTTTATTGGCTGAAGTAGATTATTATCCTTTGCCCTTCTTCTACTTACTATCCTAGATGTTATCAATCTTCTTTGCTTATAATAATAATTATTCTTATGTCAATTTAGACGGTTTCAATATACTATCAGAACTAATAGCTATATATTGCAATGCTCATACTTTTAGTCAAATCCCCAGTAGTAGCATAGATGCGATCTGCAATTTCCTGCATTTTCTACATGCTTTTAGTATTTTTGATGATTTGCTGTTCGTCAATTTTAGACATTTTATTTTTTTTTATATTTATTAATAATCTCAATAGTGATAGTCAAATGATTAAAAGAAGATGATAATTAATGTAGAATAATAATGCTTAAATTTTCATGGTTTGAATACGTCAATAAACTTCAGCATGCTTTAATAAGTCACTCTTCAATTATCCTAGTGAAGTTGTCGTTAACAAAATTGCTTAATCTAGTAATTTACTTTGTTAATTTCTCTATCTAGTTGATTGCTAATATTCTTAATCTAGAATTGAACATTCAGCTTGTATGTTCTCAAATTCTTTCATTTTATTTTGTAATCTGACATCAACTTCCATTTTTTCATTCTCACTCTATTTCAATTCATTCGACTGACTATCCAAAATTCCTCTTTTATTCATAAATACTACCTGTCATTTCAGTCAGAGATTTAGAAGTTTCATTGAACAAATCAGCAATTTGGGCTTTGTAATCATTATAAGCTGACTCCCTAGCTAATTCTGCTTGGTCTTCTCTGGTTCTTTCAGCTTAAATGTATGATTCTATTTATTTGAGAATAGCACTCAATTGAATTGCTAATTTTAATGCTTCCTAATATATATGAAATGCAATACCTCTTCGCTTGTCTGCTTTGATAGAGACTAGAGTAATTACACGAAATGCTTGTACCCTTCAAGTTTGTAGGTGTGTTTAACTTATTTTAACACTTATTTCATTTCAGCGAATGACTCAAATTTACGTTACCCTTTTTGCACGGAATCGATAAATTGATTAAAAGCTAACTTAATTTGATGGAAACCGAATAAGGCTTACTCAAGGTTATCTAATATAGTGGAATAGGTTTCGTGTTCCTTCTCTCTTTTTTCTGCTGCTTATTTTAACTCTTGCTTATAGTCATCCTATCTTAATTTTAGGTAAAAATACTATTTCTTTTTGTTTTCTTTCCACCATTGCCACACTCGATTTAACATTTGGATTGAGAGTGTCAATATATGATTTTAGAGTCACAGATTTAACTTTGTAATTATCGATTTAATCGTTCAATTAACCTAAGTTGAGGTAGCAATTCGTAGAAATTCTCTTGTGTTGCTCTTCAGATTTGTATTACACCTTTTCCACTTACGATTGAAGATTTTACAACATATTGACTAAATTACCAACAGGCTCATCAGATTAGATATGCATTTGAATGGTTTCAAGAAGGGTTTAACCGAAGTTATCATCGTTAAGCTAATGAATAGTTTACTGCATACGTCCTCCATCGCTTATCTGTATTGTGCACTTGTCGCATAAGTGTATACGAAAAACACAAACAATAATAATTTCATATAATAATAAATGAAAATAAATCCGTTTTACATAATAAAATAAAAATAAAATAAAATAGAACAAATCACATTCCAATATTGCACACACTTGATAACTCTGATTCTCCATTTATTTAACAATTGTAGTAAGCAAAATTAAAAATGGTTTATAATCATATATATTAGTTAATAGTTTTAGAGATGGCTTCTTACAGGCTTCTCGCAGCAATTATATTTTCTTTATTCTAATCGCTTAGTTTATCAAAACTCTAAAGATTATAACTAAAAAATACTTGAGTTCTATTCAAAGTGTTCTTGACTTTGTATATAGTAAATCTCTTATTATTGATTTTGGATATCTTCTCTATGAAATCTTGATAATGCTCCTCAACCGATTTGTTGTACATATATATAACTACATCGCAATTTTTCACGTACACTAAAAAATAAATTTATAAATTTTACCATCAATAATCTCAGTGAATTTAGTTGAGTTAATATTGTTCATCCAAAAATGATAAGTGATTTATTTGTTTTTATTGACTTCAACCTTTGAAACATAATCAAAATCCCTCCTTTGATGAACTTCTCGATCACAATAATCAAAGATATATTATGCTTCATTCTCTGCAGCCATCACAAGTATTTTTACATTCTATGTCTCCATCTATGCTTGTATCTATGCTTCCTCCTCTATTTCCGTATTCTAGAATATCAGATTATATTTATACATTAGTTTCCCTCTCATCAAAATCAAAGTTCACAAGTTTTTATTCTTGTTTCTTGGAATTGCCCTCATAATAGAAGAGATCCTTGTTCCAAGCAGTTTGAGCTAGTTGAATGTATTCTTCAGCTGAATCAGAATGGATTGCTCCTAATCTTTTTCTCATTCTATTTGTAAGTTATTTTAACTAAATTACTAGAATTCAAGAAATATTTGTGATATAAACTCAACCATAACTCATACAAAAATTTAATTCGTCATAACACATATTATCATCATTGATGCGAACCACAATAATTCAACTCTTTTGATTGCTTCCATCATCATCTTAATCTTCTTCTTACTCTGCCAACCATTCCATTAAGTCTTTCTCATATTATTCTAATTTCTCATAGTAAACATCCAACACACATCGTTAACAACCAGAACCACAACATTCATCTGGATCTGGCTAGTCTGGTTCTATGGGTCTCTCCTTCTTTTATTTGATATTTCTCATCTAATAATTGATCTCAAAACTCGACTCCTTGCATAATTCAGACTCATCTATTCGATCAAATAATTTAATATTTTATTTAAATTAGGTAGCTATCTAGCTCCATTAATTCATCCTTATTTTTCTAATATAAAATAATAACATATAATAATTCATCATTTATTTTATTACTAAAAATCGAACTTTTTCATCCAATTCTTAAAAAAATGGAAGGTTAAAGTTACTCCAAATATAATTGCACTAAACTAAACTAATTGAAAAGACCAATCATTAATATTTTTATTTGCTTATATATTTATAATCATTATCATAAACATCCACACAATTATCAATCTATTACACCTTCTCAAGATTATTTCTTAATGTTAAAATTATTCTCCCTCAAATCAATCCTATTAACAATTTCGCTTGATTAATTAACCATTAGAAACGATTCTTTTTAAGATTAAAATCAGATAATTTTCAACTTTCTATTCTCTTAAGGTTTTCTTTCATTATTAAATTCTAATCCTTAAATCTAAACAGCAACTCCTAAACTTCCTATCACTTAATGATTATATTATTTTATTATATAAAGAAGGTAGAGTCTATAAGGATTTCATCATTTTCAAATTTACTTCCTTATAAAATGGTCTATTTATTGAATTATCACAACTTTAATTTCTTCATTCCACTCCCAAAACATGAATTCCTCATCTTTTAATCTTGATAATGAATGAACTAAATTACTCAAATCCTCTATTATAATACCCTATGACTTCAATTTAGAAGATCGGAAGCTATTTCTCAATTTATTCTAATGAGATATCAGTAATCAAATAGGAATCAGATTTAGCCAATTTTGATAGTTCCTTGGGACCAGAGGTTTTTATAAATCTCTTGCAATTATGCTAGGAATTATGATTTCTTATATTTTAGTGAAATTAGATAATAGAGTATTCGCATCTGTTGGCTTAAAATTCTTTTATTTTATTTTATGCATAGATAAGGAAATTGAGGTAGAGTAAATCATCATAATCAAAAACTGATTCTAATTCTCTCATTTAAAGTCTATGATTCATAGGAATATCACTCAAATTTACTTAAAACACTCTACATTTCCAAATGAAATTATTTGATTCATACTAATCCATTTATTAATTTTATTCTATACAATAATAACAACAAAATGGGTATCTAACAACTTATATAATACAATTATCAAAAACCTTCTAGATGCTATCAACAAAAACTATTTTCACCCTCATTAACACATATTTGATAATGGATTAAAAAATTATTCCTCTCTTAAACAATCTAAATCCAAAATATAAAGAGAGAATTATCTCTTCTTAGATTTTAATTTTAAAAAAATATGTAATTATTTAATAAGTAAGCAATAATCAAAGTCTTTTCAAATATTCACCAATCCCAAAATTTTTTCTTTTTCTTTTCGATTCCTTTTCTTTCATAGCTGAAATTGGTTTCTTTAGAGAACCTCACTTTTTTTGATTTTTTGACAGCAGTATGAGTTGACTTAATTGATTTACTACCAGAGAAACTGCGATGTGTTAAGGATCTATTTTTTAAGATACTTTTATGACTCTTTTGTGTTTTGCTATAGCTGCTTGATCCTTTTTCATCGGCTGAAAAGAATTCGCTAAACATTTTTTCGTAGGCATCAAGCATCATTTTTTTTTTGGATGAACCTTTACTTGCATTATTACTGGCTAATTCTTCTCTGGCCTGGATAATTTTCTTTAAAGCACTTTTTCTCATAATATCTGATTGGGATGAAATAGATTTATCCTTGCAAGGAGGGGTTGGAGTTTTGGAGATTTAAGATTTTTGGGACACTGAATCATTATCATTTCTTTTAGGGGCAAATTAGGAGGTTGATTTAGGTTGGAATGGATTTGCATTTTAGTGGTCATTTGATTAAATAATGGAATTTTAAAATGAAAATTAGTTATCTAATTATTCTTTTTATTTTTTAATTAATTCTTTCCTCTGAAGTTCAAGTTCTTGTTCATAAATTTATTGAATACGTTTCAAATTTTCTTACTCCTCCTAAATACTAGACTATGATTGATGACATACTTTTTCTAGATGATGTACTTGATTTCTTCTTCGATATCATGCATAAATCTGTTTTTTCGGTCCCCCTATATTTCGAGATTTTAAATTCGTTTGCTGAATTATTTGATCTCTTTGGGTGACTTGAATTCTTCTCCGACCAGTTCATCTAACTCTCCTTTTTGAGAGCAAATATGATTGGTCCTTGAGTCCTTATCAGATTCTTTCCTTTACTTGAGTTTTTATTGTATTGTGATTTCCTACTCCACAGCATGTTATTATCTGCACAAATGTTGACAAGATCCCATTAATTAAATTAAAAATCAATTCTGACAACTTTGTTTACCAGATGAGAATAATTTGATTTTATTTTTAATATTATTTTTTATTCCCAACTTTAGAAGTCGCTGGGGTTATCCTCACAAATTTCAGTTCTTCTCAATCCGAAAATGGAACAAAAACATCCTTCAAATTTGTCTTTTCATTGAAACACTAAAGCAAAATCTGAAATTGTGTACATCTCATTTAGAAATGGCATCCAATGTAGATCATTATAGTAGAATTAAATAGATTTTTGATGTCAGTCAAAGTTTCAAATATATCTGCAATTAAATCTTTATATAAAATATATTTAATTATCTTTAATAAAATATTTTGATGAGCGGAGAGTTCACAACCAAGTGTTCCTGTCTAGTTAGATTCAATCCCTTGGTAAATAAATATATTAGCGGTATCCAATATTAATCTCATTCCTATTCATTAAAATTAAATATAATATGTCTAATTAGAAAACACCTAAATCCCTCAACTCTTCCATCATATATACACCAATACCATTACGACTCCAGTATAGTGCATCTCGTTCTAGTAAATAAGGTTCAAAATCTAACATTCTCTGGGATAGCACTTCAAAGGAGCCATTTTTATAAGCCCATTCGTAAAGTCCTCAGAAGGTTTTGTATGTAATCATCACGAACACTAATAGACTCCAAACCTTCGAAGCCTTATATCACGAAAGGCCTCATAATCCAATGACAAGAGATGAAAAATTTAAGGAACTTGAAAATCTTATCTCGTCTTTTGATTCTGAAGCCTTCATTCAAGAAGTTGAACTATTTGATTGAGCTCACAAATACTTTTGAATTGTGAATTAAGTATTTTCATAATAAAGTATAAAACTTAAAAAAAATAAACCAAAATATGTAATTCTTTGAGCAACGCACAAGCGATCACAAAACAAACCCTTTCTGTTACAATCCCACTCCAAATATTCATAATAATAATCACTATTAAAATTTTCGAATTTTTATTATTATAATTGGCATGCATATAAAAGTAATACTATTTGCTTTAATAATCTCCTGCACCTTCTCCAGATAAATCAGACCCAGAAAGTCGAACTTAATGCATATACCCTTGGTCTAAAAAGGTTAAAGAGTTCAAGATGCTATCAAATCGACTCTACATGCAGACACCAAAATATCCTTTGAGTTGAGTCGCGAAGACAAACAACAAATTAAAAATTAAAATACTCTTCTAGACCATCTCGACAGACTTTAATACGCCTATTAGATCACTTATATTCCATTAAGGTAATAAATATCCAATATCCTCCCAATTAGAAATTCATACAATGCTCAGTATTTTGGTAAAATAGAGTTAGGTTAACCAGAGTAAACCTTTGATGTTTTGTTTGATACAGGCTCATCATATACGTAGAATCCTTATAATTTAATTTAGATGGGTGGCTTCAAGTGACTGTCATACTTGCAAAAAAGCAGGAGTGAAAGATTTTTTTGATTGCGAGGCTTCAGACAGTTGTAAATATCTTTAAAAGAAGATAAAATTATAATATGGTACTGGTAAGGCTGAAGCGTAGTTTATGGTTGAGAATTTGAAGATAGGTTCTTTATTAATTCGAAATTAAACTATGTTAATTTTGGATGAATTAACAGAATTAAAAAAATTTGAAGGAGATGGCTTAGCAGGACTTGGCTTTGATACTTTGAGTGATGGATATCCAACATTAATTGATAATTTATTCAGTCAAAATTAAATAGAAAAAAAGGTTTTTGTTATTTATCTAAGTTAGGAATTTTCAATTTACCTTACAGACGAAAACCTTAAGGATGATGAGTCATCTAAATTAATTTTAGGTGGGCAATTAGATAGTCTTGGAGATCCAAATGATTAATGGCATTACTGTTAAGTGATAAACAATAAGTATTGGGCTATACAAGGAGATCACGTGGCATTTGTATCGAAAGATGGCGATACAAGGAGAACATTAAAATCTATTCAGCCAGTCCATAATGCCTAAGATGAAAAGAGCGATATTTTATACACATCTCTTTTCGTTATAGATTCAGGAACCTCACTAATAGTCTTATATGAAAAGGATCATTAGAGATTGGTTGAGTACTTACAAGATTTTGGAATTAAGTGTTTTGACAGTCTGCAATTCGAAGGAATAACCTAATGTGATCAAGCAGATATTGATGAATATCCCAACTTCGAAAGTATTGTTTTTATGTTTATTCTATTAGTTAGTTTATGTGGCAAAGTATTTACAATTACACCTGATAAGTATCTCTTATGTTCATTTTTCGAATGCTATTTGATGATTGCACCTTTTGATCAAAAAGTTTCAATCTTAGGGGATCTGTTCATTAGAGAATACTACACTCATTTCATTTAGGATGTATATATTTATGTATTGACTAATATTAGGAACCAAGAAGGGTTGGTTTTATAAAAGCAGTATAAAATTGATATTTTAATACATATTAAATTATTATATTCCTTATTTCTTCATTATTAAAAAAGTATATTACTTCTAATTTACATGATATTTATGAAGAATAAATTTAAGTTCAAATAATATAAATTTCTTTTAATCTCTCTTACAATATTTGGTCTTATCACCAACCCATTTATACCTCACAAGGCTTTATAATTTTTGAATAAAAAGTGTCTAATTGAAAATCATTTTATTTTATATTATAACCAATAATTGTGAATTAACGAATTTTAATAATAGAAGATTCTGAATATATTTCTTTGCTATTTACTGATGTGTATGATTCTTGCCCACGTGATTGATTATTTGGTTAATTTAAATTATACATTTGAAAATAATAGATCATCTATAGAATTTTATGTCATATCGTTATCATCAATTAGACTAATAATAGCAAAGCCATCTGGATGATGGAGCTCCAAGAGGCTTCAATAACAGGAAGGGATGTCACTCCATTGAAAGAGGCCGTCTAGGACTTAGTCGAATAAATTTACTCCTTTGTATAAGGTACGTCCATTAAGATTTTGGACGGGACGATTGTTGGCTTTATTAGGGAAGAAATCATCATTGTCAAGGAAATCTTGGAATTGTTTGAATTGCGATTTAGAGATAGGCAAGGGGGATGTAAAAACATACCAGTTAACTGTTTAAGAGCAAGGTCTATTGTTAGTTTCTGAGAATATACATAGTCGTGAGACTGCCTGTGTAGTGATAATAGGTTTTGTCAGTCATTTTTTGGAAGAAGTCACTTTGTTATAGGGAGTGATTACTTCATATCAAAGGATGTAACTCTATTCACGGTGTCATCAAACCATGGCTTGAATACTTCATAATCGCTTGCAGTGTTGGACTGTTGGAAGAGCAGTCCAAAGACAGTCAGTTTGTTTCTAATGTCATTACAACTCTATTCACCATCTTCAACAGCCTGATAAATTGAAAAGTGTACTTGATGCACGAAATGAACTTCTAAATCAAAGTTTTTCCCATCTACTTAATGTTCAGAAGGTGTGTGAATATGGAACTGCCTAGCGTAGTATTTGTATTGTGAATTGGATAAATCATATGCAGTGATGAAATCGTACTCTCCCTCTAATTCTTTGGTATAATCCCCTGAAATATTATTTTAAGAGATATACGCTGAGCCTCAAAGTAATTTTTGGTTGAAGACTTCAATATATAATTAATTGCTGGGAACGTACTTTCTTTTGTGGCTGCTGTCGTTATTATGTTTATGGGAGATTAAAAGCTAGCACCACATGTAACAACCTTGGCTACACTCTTAACGCAAATAAAGTACATTTCCAATCATTAGAGTTCAAATAATTCCAATCAGAAGGATCTGTATCACCCCAAGTTGAATTTTTTACGCCATCATTAAAAATTGGATCTGGCAATTGGCAGTAGGTTCTCTGGGCCAAGACCGAATCAAATGCACATATCAGAAGAATTAATGCAAGAATCATCTTTAATTTAAATAATTATTTTTTGTTCTTAGAACATAAAAGTATTTATTAATTACAAATTAATGTATAGATATATTTAGTACTATAATATATTAGCATTTCTGCCATCAAGCGAGTGCAGTAATAAATGTAGTTATCAACTATATTTAAGCCTTAGAACTTCTATTTTGACGATTCCTTTCTTCATTGATCCATATTAGTATTATTAAGATTTGTTGAAATTGTAATATAATTTTAAATAGAAATGGAATGATAGATTAAATCCATTGTTGATTAATTAATCTCCATCATGTTCTCTGAAAAGTAAGTGATTTAGGATTAATTGACAATAAATTTTACAGAAACAACATATATGTATTGTATTCTTAATTTTAATTAAGTATGGAACCCTATTATTATATGAAATCTAGCTGTGGTTTTTATAATTAATGAATATATTAATAAAATTTATGTCCTCTCATCATCTCAACTTATAAAATAGAATATATGCTGTCTGCATACATTGAAAGTCTATATTACGCATTTCAACTCTTTCATCATCCCACATTTGCCACATATTCATATTCTTGATGTAACTTACATAATGGCCAGCTTTAGCATCACCTAAATGACAACAAATGCCCATTAAATCATACATTCTTGTCTATTTAATTACTCAAAATTGATTTACTTTAACTTTTAGCTCCTACCTTAAAAAATAAGGATTTGTGTTTTTTACTATATCATTTCTTTATAGTATCAATATTAATGTATTAGTCAATTAACCTTCCACTTACAAGGGCTTATCTGATTTAAAGAAATTCTAATAATTTAAAACTTAATTTGGAATATCCAATTATTTGCACCACAGAAACTCATCTAGATCCTTTGTTCTAAAAACCAAATAAAGTGGGGAAACAGGTTCCCAAATGTCATTTTAGTCACTAATGTAACCATTAGCACTGTAAACATCAAAATTAATTGGAGTTTGTTCTAACTATTGTCTAAGTCGATAATATAATTAATGTTAAGTAACAACTTATTCTAAATACAAAAATCGAGTTCTCACAATTGTTTGCGTGACATCATTTTCAACATATTATAACACAATTCTCTAATATAATTCTATAGATCTTACTCAATCTTGTACAAATATTCATTAGTCTAAGTTTCTACATGATAAGTGAACAAATCAGTTTCCATCTTATCATTTAAATGCCAATTGAATTAATCTGAAGAACCAGGTATCATCTTAAACAATCTAATATTTTATGAATTATCATTCACATCCGCCAATAGCTTTAAATTGTTGATATCAACATTTTAGTCCCATATATAATAGACAGTGTCTTTTACCCAACTTTGATGAATGTAAATGCAATTCCTATGTTCAGGGATTTCACAATAAGGAGATTAACTAACAATTAAGCAGTAATCTAATAGTTTGCTCTCTGATAATAAAAATAACAAAATTTCAAAAGCATCTTGGGGTTCTTAATTTTCTGGATTCTACGAAAATAGCGTAGGCTATCTCTTTCGAAGTTCAATCCAAAACAATTCTAAGTTTTTTGCATCATGACACTCATTTAAATATTCAAGTGTCGCTATTAGAAACTATTGAAATAAATCATCTTAGACCTTCTTAACAACTAGGCTTTTAGATAGGCAAATCAAAAGAGAGTTGAGAAAACAAGTGTTCCCTCGATTCTTTATGCCTTTAAGCATTTATATATTATAAATTATATATAATTATTTTTCCCTTTAGAATTCCCTCTCTGAATTATTTCCCAATCTATTGCTTATTTTTAAATAAATAATTACCTCTTAAGAACGGATTTATTTTTCAAAGAATTAGTTTTGTAGATTTGAATGAATAACAAATTACTTCAATTTTTCTTTGAAAGCAGCACTTCACATCAAATAGCAGATCCACAGATACTTTTTTTAATAAGGCAGAATTTTGATTACCCTATCATCATATTATAGATTAGAAGGTTAGAAGGGCTTTTTATATCATAGGTTTAAGAGCTCAAATATACATCTCTTATTATAAGTAAACTTATCCTCACCATTTAACAAGTCAAACCATGAACAAATATTGTTGGATTGCAACTATTTATTGTATGCTTACTTAAATATTTACATTTTAGTTCAAAGTCTATCAAAATTAGATGGCTATGATTAATACTAAGTGATTTTGTTAATAATAATTAATTGTAACACCTACAACATCTTTTGTGTCTTCATATCAAAGAGAAATAAGCCAATAAACTTTAAAGGTAACTAAAAATTCTTTGTTATTAAACTTCAGAATGTTTATTTTTTAAACTTAAATGCATGACTATCATTTATGTGTTCTTCTAGATTTTTCCCTTTTATTTAATAGTTCTTAATTTAGGTAACTTTTTTTATGAAACAGATCTGGACTTTCATATCAATTCAAGAAATTTGTACCCATTTATAAAAAAATACTCTTATTTAAAAGGAAAAGAGCAGAAATTGAAAACTTAAGTGTTGTTATCTAATATTTTCTTTCATAGAAAATAGTTGATTACGCTAATTAATATCTCATATTGGCTTAATTAAATGTTTCTTAATTACTTAATAAGATATTGTATAAAATGCTATGTTAAATTCTAAATATAATCATCATTTAATATTAAATAATATAAATAACAGTTAAAAATTTTGAAAAATGAATAACATATAAGGATATGGATTAGATAAACCATCAGTTAGATTACATCAAGCACCTGGAGGAAATTCATCGATCTCATTTGTACATACCATATTTAAAACCTCAAGGGAGATTACACTCCTTAATAGCAAGTAGCTCAACCGTTAGGAAGAAAACAAGTCAATCAACCTCCTGTTTAATAATAACAATAGGATGCAAAAACATCAGTCAAAGTAAGAAATCCTCCAGGTGGCAGATCATAAATTTAGTTTGGATGAGTGTTAATTATACAAATTACTAAAGTCATCATTTAAAAAATCCTATAATTAGAGTAATATCATCTATGACTTCGTCTTCTCGTTGCCAAGCTTCTCTCGCAATCTATATTAATTTAACACATGCACCATTCACATCCCCTTTCTTATAAAATTCATAGACAATTTGAACAACTAAATCGTTTTACAAAAACCTAATTAAAAATGAATAATACTCCCAAATACCATCAGATGCAACAATGACGAATTTATCAGATTCTTATAAGGAATGTCTAAGAATTTCAGGTTCGCAAATCACACCAACTTGACTAGCAACATAATCTCCAAAACTTCTAGACATAGCTAAGCCAGGGACATCCTCATGCATTGTCCAAACTCTGGCTGGTCCAATTGCTTATCCCTCTTCATCGCTATAAGGAAGAACCCTTCCACCTCTACTCAATATTCGTGTCTATTCTAAGAAGCAATCAGGTTTGTGATCCTTTGATAATTCAACAACAGAGAGTTTGCCATCATATCTTCCAATGATGGCTCTGCTATCTCCTATATTTGCACAATGTAATTCATTGTTGAAGGTAACTACAACGACAGTAGTTGAACCAGAATAGGTTACATCAATTCCACTTTTTAACAAATCTTAATTGGCCCTTGTAAAACATTATTTCAAAATTTGATGTATTGATCTATTCTTTTCATATTAATTTTATAGTTATTTTAGCTCTTTTTCTACTAATTGCGGCAAAGCTTCATAAATAAACTATGCAACCTAATGACCATAGGTTCCATGGCCATCCGAAACCTGAAAGTACCAATCATCCTCTTATCCACAGAATTTTTGAACTAACTTGAAAGTGTCTTGATTTATTTTAGTTTATCCTGTATACAACATACCAGCCTGAGATTATCCATGAGCCTTCTGGATGTAATATTAGGGTACTAATATCTCAGGATTACTAATAGAACGAGGTTATTTTAGTAATTTAAGAATCAAAGGTTTTTTCGCCAAATCTAACAAAAGCTCGTATTATTTTTTGACATCTGAATTATTGTATTACACCAGATCACGTGCAGGTCTAACCAGTTTTTCAGATTTAATTTTTTTGAGTAGATTCATGGCACAAGTAGATAACTAACTAGAATTCTCTTTAGAGTCTATGATTTTGCTGTTCTAACGCACATGTGTATTTTGAGTGAAAACAGTACTTAGATTGTTACAATCTACACTACTTTTAGGTCTGGTCTTCTTGACATCTATTAATTGTTTACTATTCCTATTATTTGGAATTGAGTGTCTAATCCATAGAACTATATGATAGATACTTATTTGCTGATATTATTGGAGATTTGAGACTGGCCTGTTTCAACTATTCTCTTCTCTTTTCAAGATGTTCAAATAATTTGTTAGGAGAAATAAGAGACTTTTACATTAATTTAAGGTAGCTGATTTGTTTAAAATTATTTTATAACATCATTTTCTAGTATTCCCTCTTGTTTTGAGTTTTGATCTACTTACATCATCTCTACAAAAATCGCATTTATACACAAATGTTCTCTGATCAGCACTAATCTAAATTCTACACCTTCTACATATGGTTGTAGTTTATTGTTAAACTTAATTTTCATTGATTTATTTTCTTTTTAATAATTGTCTTTTTTTAATCTAATCAGAATCTTAAGTAATCATACTTTTAATTTGAAATGTTTGACAATTCACTTGAGCAAATCTTAACAAAAAAATAATGGAAATCATTTTAATTGTTACCTTGATATCTAGGATCTTATTCTCTCGTTTAATAATCCTGGTTAACTCATGTTGGATTATAAGTCAAATTAATTCTGATTCCAATCAAAGGGGATTCCTAATCAATTCTAGTATTGTCTCTGATTATTATATCAATAATTACTAGGATTTAATTGATAATAAACCTGAAGTATTTTTTGGTTTATGATTTCTGCTATCATTATACAAGTTTGGATGGAATCTAAAGTTCCTACTAACCCAATTGCTTGTTATGAATAGTTTCGATCTCTTAATTTCAACACTGATTAGCATAGATTATGTCATAAGTAAAATACTTCAAGTACTTGACAGTTCCAAAGTATCCATACTCCTCTAGTAGAAGCTGAGAGATCTCAATTATATGAACTAAATACCCTTGATATATATTTAATTAGCCATCATTGTTTTAAGTATTTTTATAACTATAATTATTATAATTATATAAATTAATTCATTTCCTAAGGTTTTTTAATTATTCTCTTATGTAAATTGTACTATTTGTATGCTTAAGCTTAGAGTTGATGGGATCGTGAGACTGGGTTTAATCAAGTATACTACTGTTCTCTAATGTCAATGTTTCTAGTTTCTTATTGGATATTTTGTTTGATTCAGTCAGGATTTATGTATCATCTGATTGTTTGGTCTATAGAGTGAATTGGAATTTGTCCATCATTTATGATTTGAGTTTCTTTTAAAGGTCTTCCTCATTCTGATTCTTTTCTTAAGTTATTGAACGCAATCTGTCATTCTTTTATAAATCCATGATGTTGGATTGTCTCAATTATGCCTCTGATTTTTTATATCCTTGGGCCTTGATCTTTGAAAGATCCTAGTTGGCTTCTTCGAATGACTTTTTAATTATTTGATAAAGTTGTTAAGTATTATCAATTTTAAGTTTGCCAATCTTTCCTGCCAAATGAGAGATCTTGTCATCAAATACTTGTAACTTAGCGTCGAAATTAGACTTTAACTAATCAAATAGATTGTTAAGAGATTCCAACCTATCACCCAATGATTCTATTCTGTCAAACTTCTGGTTGATTTACTTTAATCTCTCCTCCAATTTGAAGATCTTGCGTTCCACATTTTATTCTTGGATCTAAATCCTCTCCTCCAGGTTCTTTATTTTATAGTCTATCATAAAAAATTTAACGATTTTAATTATATAACATCATTCTTATACAATTTCATCGTTCTAAGATAAGTTCTCATCATTCTAAGATTTACTTTCCAAACTTTTCAGACTTGATTTGGCCTCTTGAATTTGATGATTCACTTTCTTGATTTCCTCCTTGTAATTGTTGATGTTATCTTCTTGCTATTGTAATTAATAATACTATTCTGATTTACCTTTAATAATTCACCAACCAGATGATTGATGCCTTTAGCGTGCTCGTGCGTTTTGTACACTATCTCAACGATATCAAATATTTTTATCAACGCATTCTTTGCTGCTTCAGGCTAACCATTTTCCTCTAATATTTTTTATTTCAAGTTTAACAGGAACTTGGTCTTCTCCCCATCCAAATAAGTGATATGCACAACATTTTGGTATCCCAATCGATTCACCAGATCTTGGCCGTGATTCTTCTCAAGTATTTATTCCTCATTAATGTAATCATAACTTACTTTGAATTCCGGCCAATTATACAACTCAGGATCAGCTTTATAAAAAATTAGAAGAATCCATCGGAATAAACTGTGTATCGGATTTTTTATATCCTTTGAAGAAATCTTCAATTTCACTAATAATGTGTTATTAAACTACGTAGATCTTTAATGTGGATAGCACTAGCCACATCTCTTCGAATGAGTGTTTCAACTTTGATGTTTTGTTTTTCATCTTCAATTTCCTATTTTATTTGAAATTCAGGATTCTCTAATACAAGTTACTACCGCTTTTTGCGTCCCAACTCTATACTCTTATTTAATTCATCTTTCAAAGAGGCTGAATCCTGATCTCCTTAAGAATGGGAGTTTCCCCAAGAATTACCTTCTAAAGTGTCTTTTTACTAAGGGATTTCGGATGGAATTTTCATTTAAGAAATTATATTGTTTAATACAAAAAAGTCTTGGATGGAATGTATTTATTATAATTTAATTAAATTCTAATGCATTACAAAGCAAATATTGAAAGATACACCATTATAAACGTGGCATTAGTCAATTATTAGTAAGAAATTTAATAATGAAATAAAAAGAAATTAAACAGAAAGACAATTTGGATTAGTAAGAAAAACCTGTGGCCAAGAAAATAAAAAAAAACGAAGCCAATCCAGCTGAGGAATACGAAATGGTCGAAACAATGCTGACTGCAGACTTCTACAAGGCTGATGTAGTTGAATTGGCCCAGAAGTTGATTGGCAAGATAATAGTCAGACAATTGCCGTAAGGGGAGGTCAGAGCCATAATAGTGGAGACTGAAGCCTACAAAGGTACATTTGACGATCGAAAATGTTAGCTCCTGAGGACAAGGCTTGTCATGCTTACAACAACAAAAAAACAGACAGGACAAAATACTTCTGGCAAGATGGAGGTCATTTGTATGTCTATTCGATCTATGGGAATAATTATTGTTTAAATATTACGGCAGCAACCAAGGATGACCCAGAGGCTGTATTGATTAGGGCAGTTCAACCCTTAAGTTTTGACATAATAAAGGAGATACGCAAGACTAAGTCAACGAAGTTGCAGGATCTTTCGAATGGTCCTGGGAAATGCGGAGGGTGTTTGCTCTTGGATAAGTCTCATAATGGGTTGAATTTGTGCGATCAGAAAAGTGGGATGTATTTGATAGACAACAAGAAATAATACGAGATTGGTGTTTCAGCCAGGATCAATATTGATTATGCAGAGGAATGGAAGGATAAGCCTTGGAGATTTTATGTTAAAAACAATAGTTTTGTATCCAAGGGTTGAGTGATTATGTTGTGGTGTTTAATGATATTGAAATTTAAGTTGTTTTGGGAGTTCTGTCGGGTCTGAAGAGTGTAAAATATTTAATAATTTCTGGATTCTGTGTGTTACATTTTGATAAATAAATTTAATATATGAAACCAAATCATTGTGACACTATATTTAAAGATGACTAGTTCCAGACTCCGACTAGATAGCAAAAAAGAGTTATAACTGAAACAACAATTAAAAAACCATTCCAATAGAAATAGAGATAATGCACTTGCAAAAAAAGTTAATGTCTGAAAATGTATTGCGATTGTTTGGCTTTTGGTGAGTATTGTGGAAGCGAGTGTTCATGTTAAAATTGTCACAATGATGATAAACACCCCGAATAAAGAAGTAAAGTGCTTGAACAAATGGTTGAGAAGAATTCTTCTGCTTAGCTGAAATGTAATTGTCGTAAAAGTAATTGTTAAAAAAAATATTGTGAATGTTATAATGCAGGGGTGAAATGCTCAGAATTGTGTAAATGCGATGATTGCAAAAACAGTGTTAAATTGGGTTACAACCAATTTCAAATTGGAAACCAGAAGTTTATACTGATTCCAGTTTAAACTTTCGAGTAGTTGAAGTCACAATAAAAATGAAGCAGATGAGCATCACATTTTTCCAAATCATAAACAATAAAATATAAATAATTCTTAATAATTATTATTATTTGCGAGTACATTTTCATTGACATTGCATACAAACCCAAAAATAATGTACATCGTCTTTAATACTTCCTAATTAATACTACTGATCTTTAAACATCGAATTTGTAAATTAAATTTATATGATTTTGCTAATAATATCACTCCTCACACTCGCCAATAGTGATTGCATACCCTACGGAGTCAGATAATCTTTGGGACATTATTATTCAGCTCTCAACGACATCAATAACTACATCACCCTCACCTTCAATTCCTAAAATCTGTGTTTAGACTATGTGGTTCAGATCATCACGGCGACAAGCATAAACAACATCTAAGTTACTAATTTCTCATTGCTCAACATGACTGATGTTTACAAAGACTCAGAAAATGTGATTCATTATGAAACGTATGTGTATGATGTAAAGATTGGTTAATTCGACAGTTTAATCGAAGGAAACTAATACACTTTTGTGATCTATTGGGAGAATGCACTAATTGCAGGTCCATTCTATTTCAATGTCCCTTCTAAATCCCTAAATTACTCAAGTAAATTTATTGTCATGGGGGATATGGATTCGAATTGGAAATTAAATACTTCCAAATAAACTTTTGATTGGTTTACTAATTAAATTAAAAAAACAACACATTATGATGGCATCATCTACTTAGGAGACATGGCATATGATTTAGAGGATGACAATTGCATGGTGGGAGATAACTTCCTTAGAAATATAAGTTTGTTTACCTCTCACTTTCCATTCATGTTGACACTGGGGAATCACGATTCAGGTCACAACGATGAATTTGTTTATATCAGAAAGTCATTTGCTACTCCAAGAATATCTGAGTATGACAATGCAATTAAGTACAACGATTTTTACTCATTTCAAGTTGGACATGCTTACTTTGTATAATTCCACCCTTACAAAATTGCTTATGGCAATGATGATAAGACATATTTTAATTATACCTTATTTCAAATGGAACAAGAATTAAGCAGAATCAGATAACACGAAAATACCTCATGGTTAATTGTTTACAACCATTATCCCTTTTATTGTAGCAATCCAGATGACGGATTCTGTGAGGATCATTATAAGAAGATGCAATTATTCGAAGACCTTTTTATTAAATATCACGTAGATTTATGTTTAGCCGGACATCAACACACGTATGAAAGAGATGAGCCATTGGCTTACAATAAGGTTGCTTAATTCGATAAATATGAAAACAACACCTATACAAATCCAAAAGCACCCATCTATATTGTAGAAGGAGCTGCAGGGAATGATGAAATAATGCCTGAAGATATTTGTATTAATTTATCTTAATTTAGACCCACCCAAGTTTTATACCAAGTTTTAGGCTGCTGGCGATGGAATAGGCATTTTAGAGGTTAAGAACAAAACTCATCTGTATTTCGAACACAGAATGAGTGCTAATGATTCAGTTGTAGATTACGTGTGGATTGTGAAAACTAATGTAGTCCCAGATGACGATGATGACAAAGTCAAGGATTCCATTCCTATTTGGGTATGGATACTCGTTGGTGTTGGAGTCTTGCTTATAATTGCCTTGGTTTCTTACTGTGTTATCAAAAACAAAAAACAACAAAAAACACACAATGAATTCATTTGATAAAATTCAGTTTAATTATATTTCTTCTTACAATGTCTAAAAATGAGAAGTACTTTTCTTAATATTTTTTATTATAACATGTTACTTTGATGTAATTTGCTGTTTCCAATTAAAATTATTAATGAGAAAAAAACCCTTTAAAGACAATGGAATCTATTTAGAGAAACATGCTAAAGCACTACTGGATTATTAGTAGACATCAGAAGATGAAGATGTCAATACCTAATCGAAATATCGAATCAAAGCTATCAAATATAAAAATAATCTCCTTGAATCCAAAGAGGTAATCAAAGCATTAAAAATCGAAAATCAAGAAAGTGTAATTTATTAGCAGTAATAACTTAGAAAAAAATCATCAGCGAATTGCTCTTGGATATTGAGGAGATGAAAGAAAGGGAAAAATTATTGGAATCTGAATTAAAAGAATAAAAATAACTAACATAATCAGCAATTCACTAATTGGAATAAGAACTCCAAGAATCAGTTGAGGATAGATTGTTGTAAGAGCAAAAGCAATTCTAAGAGAAACTCACCATCCAATCAAATGAAGCCATTGAAAAACTCAAGAAGCATTTTGATGAACAACTCCAGATAATTGCTCAAACACCTAAATCTACTGCCACACCTGCAAAAAAAAAAAAGAAGAAGAACACTTCCTCTAGTACATCCAATCTAAGACCATAAAGTTAGACTACTGGCAGATCTACTGTTGCTGTATCCAAAAAGAAGAAAAAATGATTAACATAAATATTATTTAAAATTCTATCAATGTAAGCCAAATTACCTGGAGGAAATGGTCATCTCTCACCTAATTTACATATTAATGAAATCGCCTATCTTGGTGCTCACAATTCACCTATGTCAAAATGTTATGGATGGAAATATACACAACAAAATGTCTCTATAACAGAGTAGTTTGAAAAGCATGGTGCCAGGCATTTCAAATTCCCATTACATTGGCACCTTGAAAAGGGAGTCCCTTAGGTATTTTTTATTTAGTATTTTCGATCGTCATTGCACATGAAGGAGATGGTGGATCCAATTGTAAATTAAGTGTCTTATAAAGACTTTTTACTGATCCAGAATCAGCTTGTCATCGTCTGAAAGAATTATTTAATTTGGCCTACAAGTATCCAAATGAAATCATGATTATCAAAATTGAGAGCAAACTAATGGAACACACTAAGGAAAATGGAACACTAGGATGGAATGAAAGTGATGATGATTTAAAGTTGCATAATTTGCTAGTCGAACTTAATGCACCTTAAAGAGCAATAACATTTTAAGACAATAATCCTCCAACATTAGGATGGTGTAGAGAAAATCAAAAGAATATCTTGATTACTATTGAGCCCAGGAGATAAATTGGGGATTTCTTATTTAAATACACACATTATTCATATGATATTAGTGGTCAAGTAAATTATAATTTAGATCCTTTAGAGGATGTGAAAAATGGGGATTTGCTTAACGGCAAGATTTGGAACCCTTTTTTAGAAATTCACTTATATTCAGAAAATGCTTTAAAGTAAAAACTGAAATAAAAACTTCCTTTCGTAACAGACAAATATAACGACTATAGTCATGTCAAAAAAAGATTTAAACAGTTTAATACTCATTGCAACAAAATGCCTAACTTTGTTCTGGCTGATTATGTGGATCAGGGAAACCCTTCTAAGACAATAGATGAAGCTAATGATATAATCAATAAACATGGTTGTTTTAAACCTGAATTATTGTGAAATAATACATATAAAAATCAAATCACAATTTGAGTATTTAGTCCGATTTATAAAGTTTATACTCAAAAAAATCGAATCTACTTTCTATTGTTGTAATCTCCTTGATTTTCTTAAGAATTTGACTAATTCAATAGTTTATTATTTACATATCGTTTTCACTTAAAGGCTAACACTCTTCCTGAATATCAATTAAATTCTATAAATAAATGCAGAGTCTGTTTAATTCGTATTTTTTAGATAGATTATCTAGAGAGAATAACTCATCATCTGCACTCTATGGAATGATTTAGGATTCTTAAAGCTAGTAAATTTTTTATTTTATCTCATTACTATCTTCTAAAAGCTTTTTGTGTTAACTATAGAATTGACTTTTTATTTTCTAGTGAAGTTCTACTTCTTTTGGACTTGATTACTCAATGTACAAATTCAACAAACTCATAAAGTGCTGGACATCACAAAGTTGAAGCAGTTTTGGTAATAGATCTGAACTAACCCTGTGTATCATTGCAAATCCAATTTTAATTTCCTCATAACCAATCTAAGTAATAGTGTATTACATCTTCATTAGATTCACATTATTATTGGAATTAGCATGCTTAACCATATCGGCTATGTTATTGCAAAGTAAACTTTTTCTATATAAATTATCTAAAATTGTATAGATTCCTTGGAATACGGATTGCATTTAATCTTAATCATTTATTAATAATTCATTTTTTTATTACATAGTTTGAAATAGTGGATCTTTTAATAATATTATATCATATTCCTGCAAAGCTTCAAATGATATTCGCTAATTTTAATCAAAAAGCATCATTTTCTCTATTAAAACTGCTAACAATTACCCATCTTTATCTGGCAGTTATTAACATTTATATGGTGTATGTTTAATTTACTCGTAAAATTATGGTATTTAATCCCTAGTTTTATAATTTGCAGGAAAATTCATTTCAAACACAATTTGATGAAATAATATTGCAAGAGAATAAACATCACACTTCCCACAAGATTATTCGTTATTAAATATTTCTGGTGCCATATAACAGGTAGTGCCAGCTCGAGTCATGTCTTATTACTAGTAAATATTGATTAAGGTTTTGGAGAACCCAAAATCAGCAATCTAAATTATTTCATGAATAAATTAACCTTATAAATTTTCTTCTGCTCTTCTAGATTGGGATTGAGAATCTTTACAAGTATGTTTTAGGGCTTAATATCTCTATGGACAATATTGTTTTCCTTCAACAATTAAGCTCCTTTAAGGATTTATCTAATCATTTGAATTTGATCTTCTCTTTTAAACCATTCGTTCGATTATTTAAAATGCATAAAGAGGGAGCTAAGATCGCAATCACATAATTCCATAACCAAGCATAATTCTTCGTCACTCTTTACAAAATCAACTAATTTAACCAAATTTTCAGATGGAGTATTCTTTAACATAGAAAGTATGTTTAATTCAGCATCTAATATTTTTCTTGTTGCTGAGTCTCGAGAGTCGTTTCTTTTCTTTAAAATCTTCATACAATATAATTCATCCTAATTATTTTTTTTATAACATCTGTAAACTTACCCATACGTCCCCTCTCCTACTAAATTATCAGCAATAACAATATAGTCTCCTTTCATTTCTCTGATTTGCATTTTTTATTCTTGAATGAAATTTAATAAACAATGATAATAATATTTTATGTATATGAAATTAGAAGAATATATGCACTATCGAGCTCAAAATGTATATTAATTTTTATATGAGTCTAAGAACTCCAGACTTTTGGAAGAATCTATTGATTTCACTTAATGTTAACTATTATTATAAAAGTAGAATATAATTTATTTATATAGTATATTTACTTGGACTTGAGTTCTTTGTTTTTCTCAAAATTCCTTCAAGTATTGGAGAGTGTTCAAATGATGAAAATATTAAATTGGACTTCTTTTAGTCTAAATTATCATGAATTTTTTAGTTTCCAAAATATGATCACATAATGTTTTAATTATTTTTTCTTAATATAAAATTGCCAATATAGCTTATATTAAACTATATTGTTGTTTAAATTAATGAAATACTTGAATTTAAAATTTATATTAACATAATTTTTGATCTATCAAATTCTAATTCAATAAGTTTTGATATCAAATATATCATTTGGATTTATAAAAAAATAGTTGCATATTTCAAATTTAGTCTCAATTTTTTTAATTTTTTCAATGTATTGTTAAATCTTTCTAGAATTAATATAAATATATATTATTACTGCTCGAATTTGCTAACTTATTAACTAACTTTATTATTACTTAGAAATTCTTCCAATAGCTAACAACACTAAGTAATTGAAACTTTTTAATATTATGATTTTTCTAAGAACTGCATGATTGAATTGAGCTAATTGATATTTGCGGATTTTTTCTTAATCATAAGAGAATTGAAGTCTTCTTAATTCTTTCTTAATTGCCTGTGAAATTATGTTCTAACTTCTTCATGAAGCTTTTATCGCACCTAATTGTTTTTAGCGTCTTCGAGGTATTTTTTTAAAATATTCATTAAGCGGGGAATATCATGTTAATTTTTAATGTAAGATTCTAAGTCAGACACTATAAGATTAAGCATTGCAAAGGCAAATCTAATTTCTTCTAAACCAATAACTTAAATTAGCAACTCAACAATTGATAGTTCAATATTAAGACCAAGTGAATTCTCTCTCATATAAGTTATTACAGATTAGCAAAGTAAGGATTTTCTGTAAAATATATCAATAAGTAATTATATTTTATCAAATTTAGATTACTTGTTATCAACCTGTTATTTTTCCAACTCTTCCTTATCAAATTTTCTATCCATTGTTAAGAAGAGAGAATCCTTTATCATAGGTAAATTCATCTTTACTATTTCATGATCAAGTAAGCTTTCGAATGAGATCCTATTATCTTGATTGAAAAGTAACATCTTTTCAATTAGGTCTTTGAGCATATTACTATATTCCCCTTACAATTACTTGCATTAGTAAGGTTGTTTTTCGATTTTATTAAGAAATTCCTACATTTAATATTAATTTGAATATTTGTCTGGAAATTCTCCATTATAAACAATCTGATGAAAGACAACTCCATAGGAGAAAATATCGCATTTGGCAGAAAACTTATGATTTCTTATAATTTCAGGAGCACAATAGACGAAGGTACCAACTCTAGTTAAATCAGCTTTTTTGTAAATGTCATCTAAAACTCTAGTGAAACCAAAATCAGCTAACTAAGCAATAATAAGAGATAAAATTAACTTTATAGATTTTTCTTTGATTAATTTTCCCTTTATTAATAATTTTCACTAAAATATTTTATGGTTTGATATCTCTGTGAACAAATTTGTTCTCAATTAAGACTTTGGCTCCTTTGAGTATCTATCTAATTATATCCATTTATTCTATTCTTGAGAACCATTTTTTATTAGCTTCTAACTATCTCTACTCCTTGTATAGATCATAATCGCATAATTCCATTACTATGCACAATTCTTAAGGCAAATCAATCAGCTCAATCAATTTAACTAAATTTTCGCTATCTGTATTTTTGAGCTCTTTAATGACTTTCATTTCTGCTAATAGTTACTTTTTTTTGAAATCTTCATCTGACTCATTAAGACTTTGTTTTTTTATTATTTTCATGCAGTATTCCTCGCTTGGATCATCTTTTTTAAAACAAGTAAACGCTTTTCCAAATGATCCTTCCCCCAATATTACATCCAGTCTGACAATATAATTTCCCCTTTCTTCGGTAATCATATCAATAAAAATTAATATTTAATATTTACAAGAAATTTTTGGTTTTTAAGTTATGAACTTGGGGGTAAGTAATAGAATTCTAAGAAACTTGTTTGAAATTTGAATTAATAGTTAAATATATGTAATTCATTATTATTATACTCTCAAATTTGAAGTCAAAGGTATAATGAATTCTCCTGCTTTTGTCACTTCTTCGTTAATAGTGAATTCCAGTTTTTCGCCCTTATTATTAATAATAACCTTTTGGATGATGATTGGCTCAAAGATGGTTGAAGCCTCTTATCCTTTAATAGAGATTTTAAATTTGTTATCCTCGAGTGCCTTGATAGTGTAAACAGCAATGCAATTGGAACCTTTGGTCCAACATTTAGCTGCAACATTATTATCATCGCTTTCATCGAAATTTGAAAGAGTCATAATTTAGCCAACAGCTGTCCCTTCTGAATTGAGGAAAGCATAAATGCTATACTTAGAATCTAAGAATCTAGCTCTCTATTTTGGATCTTATCTGAAGACGAGAGTACTAAAAATATTGGAAATACTCATTACCCTTCTTTTTGGAATGACAAGGCCTGCTGATTGAATGCCCTTGTAAATTCCTGTGATGTTTTCTCCTTGTAGGTGTAAATTGTCTTAAAGTCATCGCAATTGATCCAAGAACCCTATGGGAAGTACACATTGATGGTAGTCTTTTCTGAAGTTGGATCTGAACTTCTACTCAACACTGGAGCAACCAAGAAAGTGTTACCGAAAAGGAATTCGGAATCTTCAAATTAATATGAAAATTCATCTTTAGGATTATTCCACCAAATGGGTTATATGATAGTACCTGTTCCTGCTCCTAGATCTGGTTCAAATGAGCTTACAAAGAGTGAGTACATCCATTTAAGGAGAGAGTATCTGTTCTTAAAAGCTGCTACTGAAGCCTCCTTCACATAAGCTTAAGCAAAGGAATATGGCTCTTGAGAAATGCTCTCATTGTCATTGTGATTACGAGCAAATGGTTCCCAAGCTCCCAAAGCCAACCAACGAGCACATAATTCAGGATTGGTGTTGCCAGCAAATCCACAGAGATCGTTACCAACCAGGGGAATACCATAAAATTAGAAAGACAGCAATTCAGAAACTCCCAATCTCAAAAATTCCCAGTCAGCCAAATTGTCTCCAGTCCACAAAGCAGTGTATCTTCCTGAGCCGTAGATGGAGCCACGAGTGAGAGAGAAGGTCAATGTCTTGTTTGTAAACTTTTGTAAGGTCTTATGAGTGGCAATCTACTCTCCCAAATTGTTCAAGGAATGGAAGTATTGTTCTTTAACAGGAGTTTTCAAAAGGACTCCGTCTTCTTTGCCGTAATGGACTGCATTCAAACTGACAGTCTTATGAGCCAATGGTTGGTATCCAGTTACAAGGACTGGGAACCAGAGTCTATCATCAATTTCTTTTTTGACTGGGGGAGGACTGGGAGGATTGGCACCATAACATGCTTCATCTACAGCTGCAGATGTGTCTCTTTCTCCTGGGATAAAGGAGGCCATTTCATTCATGTCGATCCACCAACCTGATGGTTCCATTCCTTAATCTCTCATCAATTCAGAACAATTTGTCCAATACTGTTGGCTTTTTGGGTTGTTAAAGTCTGGGAAAACGACAGCACCTGGCCAAACACACCCTTCTAAATTAGATGGTTTTGAGTCCCTGGAGTAGACAGATGATTTAAGGAAGATATCAAATTCATTTCCTATTTCTTCTGCCTTAGTTTTAGTGGCAATTCCAATATCTACCAAAGGAACCCAGTGGACTCCTTGAGGAGTGGATCTATCAACTAGTTGTTTCATCTCTTCTTTCTTGAATTTTTCAGTGTCCAAAGTAAAGACTTGATAGTTGGTCATGTAATCTAAATCATTCCACATAGATTCTACAGGATGTTCAATTGCAGCCATGTTTTGTAAGACTTGCAGCATTTGTGTAGTGGATTTATAACCCCAACGACATTGATGATAACCTTGTGCCCAAAATGGATGCAATCCGAATCCATTTATGTATCTATGATAACTTTTGATGACCGTTTCTGGATCCTTTTGACCAATGAAGAACTTAAGAACTATATTGCCACCAACAACATGGAAGATCATCCTTTAGGCTTCGTCAATTTGTGTCAACAATGCTGAGGTACTCTTCAAGAATCCAACATGGTAGTTTTCTGATTTCTCATAGGTTAACCACATAGGATGGTATCCATATAGTTGATTTCCTGGTGTACCGTAGTCATTGGTACCAAATTGATCTTTGGGCCATGTGGTGTAATTGCCTGTCCCCTTATAACGCAGTTCCTTTCTTCTTTGTCCCATTCCATATAAGTATTTACTGTTGAGTGTGGTTGCGAATTATGTGTAATCTTCGGCCACTATCAATTGATGTCCTACTGAATCAAATATTGTATCAATGTCTTCTCCACCCGAGACTCTATATATAGTAAATGATCCATTCTGTTTCAAATCCACTCTGTAGCTCCTCTTGCCGTCTTTAGTGTCCTTGGAATTCGAGTCTCTTGGGAAATACTCGGAATCTTCAGGAAGTTCGAATCCTGGCTCGTCAGCATCTCCGATCTTCACTGTAAGTTCATTGTCTGAATCCATTCTAACCTTCACACGCACTCGCTTTGCCAATGTGTTATTGAACTTCTGATTCCAATACGTATCAAGGACCGCATTCTAATTGAATACTGTTTCCAACAGGGTAGAATTAGAATCTTCTGAACTCACGATAGCATAAGCTGTAAATCCTGCTATGCCTGCCAAGGTCAACACTATTAGTATTATTGACTAGAATATTATGGGATTGACTTACACCGTACGAGGAGGGCTTCCTGTTTTCATAGCTTTCTGAATCATCACCAACACTTGACATAATTTAAAAAAATAAATATCTAAAAAATAGAGTGAATATCATTGATATATATATTTCTCCTTTCCTTCATCTTAGATGTTCTCCTTCGACATCTAAATTGAATGTAACCCATCACCATACAACAAGTTCTAATCGTCACTCTCAGATCCGAACTCTTAATGAATTTAGTTAATTTTTGTATTGTAATCACTCTTCGGAATCTCAGTACTAACATTTTATTAATTAATTACACTCTGAAGAATTACAAAGGTTTCGATTTGTCAGCCCTCCACAACATTATTCCGCGATTGACAATCTTGCTCAACTCAACCCATTCCAACCTCGCCTTGTGATTCAACTACGTCTGATTCTGCAAATAAGGACGAAGACGAGGATTGTTATTCAGATGAGGGAACTTCTCCTTAACCTTCTCCCTGACATCGTCCAATTTCGGAGCGAACTCCTGCAACTTCCCCTTGAACAAATTGTAGAAGAATAGAAGCAAAAACACAGCATTCAACAGGGCAATCAACACATACCCTGCATACGTCAGACCATAAAAGTCAATATCAATGGTTCTATAAAGGAAGACACCCACTATAAGCGACAAGGACAAGACCACACTCGATAATTAGTCTAAGTCGTTGGTCACTCTTAAATTGTAAGGATTGAAGTGTGTACTTAGTCCATAGTATGCATACACAACAAGGAAAGACAAAATACCCTAGAATAAGAGAACATTCTTACTTTCACAATGATTTCCTCTTGGAAGTAGCAAATAAGAATACTAATCAAAGATCGGTAAAATATCTTTATGAATTCCCAATAATATCTCTCTCTTCTGTACTCGTGATAAAAGAAACCCCAAGACTAACTAAATCGAAAGGAATTCAATTTCATTTATTAGGCGCCTTGATAGCACACATACCAAAAGGCAGTTGGCAATACAAGCACCCACAACAATAGACCTGGTACTCCAAAACCAGCTATCCATTAATCATGTTTAAAAGTGTCATATCTGTATGATACATTAGCCATGATGTAATAATTGCCTGATATGACCCTGCTTGATATCAACGTCATGAATTCCATCACATAATTTGGCTGTAGGAATACAAATAGATATATTGCCATGGTGTATAAATATTAGACTTTGAATTGCATTTTGCCTATTCCTACACTCACAAAGATGATTATCAGCATCATCAAAATGTAAATTACTTACATTATCAATGACCAAATTAAACGGAAGTAGATCAGATCAATTCCCCAAGTGTTCTCAACCAAAAAGCAATCCAATGAATTACCTATTGTTTTTGCAGGCATACTCACTGTGTTAACTGAATCCACCGTTTCATTCGGTATTTCTATCTAAAACCCACTCAAAATTGACAATATTTATGTGTGATTGTTAAATATTTTCATTAACACAGCAACGTTACCGCTGGCCTTTTAAGAAGATGCCCAACCAAGTAGAGCAAATATATCGTAAAGCACACAATTCTCCATTCTTTCTTAATTCGCCTTTACTGAGGAGATGGTGGAATACAACGTGAAAATACTCAAGAAGACTATCATTATAATGTTCCTTGTTCTATCCTAGCATGTACCACATTCATATTTGGCTGAATTACTGTATTTTGCTTCCCAATATATGCCGTAAATATCGCACTCTTCACAAAGTGCTCCAATCATACCTTCATAACATAAATCATTTCCAACATTAAATCCTCCATAACAATTGACTGGTTTGTTCTTGCACTTCTCAGGTAAATCATTTAAATGGTCTGGTCTCCAGTATTAATTCTTGATACTAATCTAATTCATCCTGGTGTAAGTCATTGATGTATCATCTATCTATTTGCAAATCCCCTTATAAACAAGAACATATTATCCTATTGGACAAGGAGTGCATGAACCTTGTTGTGGATTGTACGCTTCTCCTCGATCACATTCCACTGATCTGATTCTAGCCTATAGGACGTAATCTGTATCAAATCCAATAAGTTGATATGGGTACTGACTATAGTAGCGAGGAATGTTGACAAGTGAACTGTTCAGTTGAACATCCAGAGTGACATTTTGATAGGGATCAAATAATATCTGTAAATTGG